GAGACAATTGAGTAACTATGACTCCTCTTATAGAAGGTACGAAGTACAAGTTTACTTTACCTAGGTAAATTCTCGACGTTCGCGGTGATGCTTGCTAATGGAATGAATTGAGCCTGAGCCCAGCCAGCCAACCACCCGAGGCTAACTCCATCTGGCGGATGGAAACTTGCACCCAGCCAGCTTACCTTCCTTACCTGCCTTACCTTCCTGACAGTACCGTACCTTAATCTTGCCATCTCGAACCAGGATTAGTCATCTTGCATCTGGCTGAGCAGGAAGAGAAAGAAATGAGTGGAAAGAAAAGAAAAGGACAAGAAAAGGACAGGAAAGGAAAGGAAGAGCGAAACAGGGGGGGGTTATTTGTCAGCTACATACAGTACTACTCCGTACTTGACAAAAAGCAAAGTTGGAAATGAGATATCAGCATAAGACGGAGGTATTCTGGTACCTTGCAGCCGCAACAAAAGATATGCAAATTGCCATGTGAGTGATAGACATCTGCATCAATCAGCATCGTATGAGAAGGACGGCCCGGAATCGATTGTCCCCGCCTTCCGTCTAGTAGTACTTTCTAGCCGTGCATGGATCCTGGGTCCGGTACGGCATCAAAACCAACGTCACAGCACGGAACTTATCGTACCTACCTTACTTTACTTTGACTCCAATATAATATGCTTTCTTCTTTCCCTTAACCCATACGGTATCACCATGCCCAAGACCTCCACAGCACGAGTCTGTCCTACCCGAACTCCGTAGACATACATAGACACAGGCACAGGCACAGACACAGCCACAGACACAGACAAAAAGACAAACTCAGCCGCACACAGAGATGCCGCCTCGGAGATCCCATAAAAAATCAAAAGCCGGCTGCCAACGGTGTAAGGTCCGAAAAATAAAGGCATGATTGATGCAAATCCCGCAACTGGAGCCACATTAACAAGTAAAATAGTGCGATGAAGTGCACCCTATATGCGGGAACTGCTTAAAGCATGGAGTCTCCTGTGATTTTGGAGGATGTCCTTCAAGTCCTGCTACTCCAGGAGTCAGCTCCCCCTCAATACAGAAGAGCACTACTAATACACCTGACTCTTTTGGGAACAACCCCTCTGCCTCTCCTCCTTCCCCAGGATCCGGTTCTGCTCTTACCTCCTTCTATCAAACGCCCAGGGACCTCGTAAGAACGAATATTGATCCCGCAGCCTCGCGCCTGCTCGAGCTTAGGCTTATGCACCACTTTACTGCAAAGACCTACATGACCTTTACGGAGATAGAAGCCGCTCGACATGCATGGCAAGTCGAAATACCAGAGATATCATATGATGCACAATATCTCATGGATGCTATACTTGCCGTTTCGGCTCTCCATCTCCGCGCTCAACACCCCAACGACCAAGTCCTGATCCGAGCCTCACATCGCTATATGGCCTCATCAATTGCCCAGTACTCCTCTCTTCTTGATGGCGGCCTATCTGAACTCAACTCAGAAGCCCTTTTTTCTACCTCGGCCCTCATAGCCTTCCAGACATCGGCATCACGAAGATTCGAGGATTTCCAGGGAGAGGGAGGATATACTCTGCCCCTTGCGTGGTTCCATTCCTTTCAAGGCGTCAAGACAGTAGTTATGGCTAGCTGGCCGTGGCTGAGGCAGAGCAGTCGGGTTTCTCCTATTATCAATGCGCAGCCAGCACTCTATTTAGACCTTGATCCTTACCGAAAGCTATTCTTTGCGCCTCTCCTGGAAGGCGTCGATCAGCAGATCGAAGGCTTGCCAAGACAATTAGGCGAAGAAACCAGACAAGCATACGAACACTCAGTTGCGTTTCTGAACTGGGCGCATTTGAAACCAACACGCTCCAGAATCCTAGGTTTTGCTGCTACAGTGTCGCGCAGATTTGTGGAATTATTCACACAGCATGATCCGCGTGCCCTTTTGATTGTCAGTTGCTTCTTTGCTCAAATGAGAGCGGTAGACAACGTCTGGTGGCTCGAGGGTATGGCGAAGCGGGAAGTCAATGGAATACGCAGTCTATTACCCCCCATGTGGTGGCCAATGATGGAATGGTCATTGCGAGTTGCCAACCATGAAGGTCCCGTAACTGATGAGATTTGGGGCACCCGCGTAACTGGAATAAGGATTGAAGAAGAGAATCTTGTCGCTAGGGGCCCTACGGTTAGCAATCATATAGATATTTTGGCTTCCATTCTCGAGACTTATGCGCCTCCGGGACCACCGGATTGAAAGCGAAGGAAGATGCGCTGCATATCAGAAAGTGTCCTAAGAGTGGCAGGCACCCTCGAGATGATTCAAGGAAGCGTCAGGCTTCAGTGCGCTGGGAGAGTGGCACAACAAAAGGGTGTACGCACAGGCAAAAGCCCATTGGAGAATCTCATTTGAGGATTTTCGTACGAATTCAGATACCCCGGCGAAGAGGAACAAAACTTATGAGATAGTAATGTCATGTACAAATAATACTTAATTAGCTAATGTTCACGCATTCAGATGATTGCTTTTCATCTTCTGAGGATTCCTCCATCTCAACCCATTGCTTTCTCCAACCAAAGATTTCTTGAACATCCCATCCCCTCGCTCAAAGTACCCCTCACACTTTGCCATCTCCAAGAGGCTAATCAGTATCACACACCTCTTCTAAAAGCACCACAAGAAGAACTTTCACCCTACTACAACAGACAGCCCTCCCCCTACAGGGGCTCGTGAACGTTAATAGAGCGTGACCGGCGAGTAAGGATGTGTTTGTTGACCGCAGTAGGGTTTTTCGAAAAATAGTTTTTTTTCGCGGATTGATGGGTGGGTGGGGTGGGGAGCCTCAGCAGAGGTTAAGTTATAGCGAAGTTATAGCGGGACTCGGGAATATCTGATGATACTGTAATAATAGAATGCCGGGATAAGATGGAGATGGGTGGGAATGGGGTTAGAGGACAGGAGCTTTGAGGTGAAATGATTGCTTTGTTTTGTGGGAGTTGTAGTTGCAGTTATATACTAGCCATTCATGGGACTCGATATATATAAAATGATGGTATAAGCGACTTTTCTTTGCTTGATTTTCTGTGTTTTAGGTTAATAGGGTTCACAATCCAACACCGGTTGTTTCTACTTGAGGTTGGAGAATAGTTCAATCATTTGCCGCCTGATTATGCCCAAATGATGCGAGTTGCCTCCATTAATGGTGAGATCTTTTTGTGGCGCAGGAGTCAGGCTGCTGGAGAAAAGGGTGTATGGCTGGGTTCTGTCCAGTTCAAGCTCCCCGGCTCTTCCGGGAACAGTGTCACTTTAGAATCCGAAAAAGGCCAATATGAATATTGGATTTGGGTAAGACCAGTTCGTAAACGCAAGGATAATTGACTTTAGGAAACGATGCTTAGCTGTTTCACTCGTCGCTGAAGAAAGAAAGGCTCCAAGGGATGGGAAACGTGCTAAGAGATATGAGAGTTTGCTGGCTGGTCTTCAACCTAATCTTTCCTTCTGCTATACTGTAAGAGACAGGCAGAGCTAATGATGATTAATGCCAGCCCTTGAATCGCCGTAAGAGTACCTGGTGTACCAGCTTTGGACTTTGTAGCTTTTTTTCTGTTCCGCTCTTATATCGGCACGCCAGTATAAGAAATAAGTTGGGAGAAAATGCGACGTATTTTAAATCTGTGGATTTCGAATTCACTTTGAATTCAGCAGCTTAGGAGACCTTCGATATAATTTGACTGGACGCATCTCCGAAACCCTTCACTGACATCTCGGGGAAAGCTGCTGCGCTCGCGAGCTTTATAGGGAAGAGATGTGCAAGCAACTTCGAAGGAATCGCCACTGCTGAGTGAGGAGCAGAGCGGTGAATGATTACTAGTCTCCAAAAGATGATTGTACGAAAAATAAAGAGGCTCGTTGCGAACAATTCGGAGCTTGACAACAGATCTGTGTACAAGTACGATCCCCCTTTTCACTGCATTTCCCGAAGCGATCAGCGTTCGAGGTCTCTGTCCGCTTGGTACTGTACTGTACCTGTCTGTACCTGTCTGTACCTGTACCTGTACCTGTCCCCGTGCACATGTCGCACCAGATAAACTCAAGATCAGTAGTGCTAATCTTGCAATCAGTGCTTACTGTAGCTCGCACGCAGGACATAGTAAATGTCGTTATCTTGCGTGCCGGAAGACAATCAATGACAAAACATAGGTACTGTACCTGCGCTAAGCACGGATATGCTACTGAAATTCAAGTGGTTTATATGGGGAAGCAACGCATTAGCGAAGTCGCGTCGCGCTGAGCTAAATTCTTACCAAGAACGAAAAACCACGCCATATTTCCACAACTGAGTTTGCTAGGACCTCAATCTGAACCCCTACAGTATCTTGATTGTAGATCCAACTTACCGGGGTTGCCAGTCTCCCATCATCCGTTCTGGAAAGTAACGTCTACATACTGTAGGTACGTGTGTGCGTGTGTGCTTGACACGCGCTGACCATGTTTGCGGCAGCGGGATGGCACGTCTGAGGAGCAGGTTATTGGCTTCTTTAGGTTCACCGGTTCGTGTCAGGGCTCAGGAGAAGATGCATTCTGCCGTACATTACATGACGTGTTGGATTGTTACTTGGTACGTCTGCCGCTAAGATCGCCCAGTAGTAACAGAACCAACAGGCCTTGAAAGCAACAGGATCAAGCAGAGTAAACTGTGCATATATTTCGAAGAAGGCAGAACGCATCAATAACAGCTATGAGACCTATGGGGCATGGTCTTTGCTAGTAAGTGACGGTATACGCCGTTATGCTATACGGTAAATGTAACGAGTTACGGGCTAACTACTGTAGTAGGCTCTGCCGTTCCGTTCCGTGTTGTATTGGCGATTTGAGGTCGTACTGTAGTTTATTAAGCGATAGTTTATCGGAGCTATGCTCATCTCTGAGACTTTAGGGAATCATTATTGTATACTCCCCAAGGGGTCCACGCCACGGGTTGGTTGGACGGGCCACATGTCGCATTTACGGCTGGTTGCCGAGACTATCTCATGAGGGCTATCTGTGATTGATGCTCAAGACGCAGGGGCGGTTGGACACGAGTACACGGACCTGGTAAAAGCGGGATATCGAAATAGAAGTGAGCGCTTGACAAGTTGACTTGGGCATACGGAGCGGATGATATCTTGCTAGATCCTGGACCTGTGCTGGAATCCCAGGGAGCTGGAGAACTATTGTCAAGAAGATTTCATTTTAAACTGCTCGGAATGGTTAGGTTATCAGAAAGAAGCCGTAAATTTGTTCTATGCAGTTCACATGGACATGGGGTCTATTGGCGAAAATCAAAAGAGCCCTTGCATATAAACCCTGTTGCTGACCCAAAGCAGTCCAGTAGCTGGCGATCATTAGCAGAAAGAAGCTCGACTACCCCTTCTCAAGGTGCGATACTAAGGGAAGACGGGAGAGGGCGTGGCGTCTCAAGGGACTGTACGGAGACGCGGCTCCTTACTGGTAGTAAAAATTGAAATACCATCACGAACACAGCCCTCATTGGTGCAAATCCACGCGTCTACACCAACGACTCGTGCCTGCCTCATCACACTGCATTCTTGTGTCTTCTGACAAACCAATGGCCAGCATGCCAAAATACCCTTTGTCTCTCAATTCTCGACACTTCCCAAGTGGACCAATGGCCTGGAGCATTTCCCTGAAGGAAGCATCGGCGCCAACGTGTTCTTGACGTTTTTGCCAGATTTGTCTAGCGGTTCGCAACAGTGCCGCCTGTCAGATTCACACTGTACGAAGTACCCCTGAAGTGCAGTGCTCTGTCGGTACCCTTGCCCCGGTCGATAATAATAGGCGAATTGATGCTCCCATACCTATACATATCAACAAAAGTACCTCCTGCGCGGGAGCACATTGCATTGCATGAATTTCACGAAAGCTGCGTTCCTACGACTTATTACGGCAACAACGACTCTCCGTACCCCTCTTCTCCGACGCAGTCATGGCGCCAATGCGTCCATCAGGACGTGGCAGACTTGAAGGCCTTCATTCACTGGATCCTATCTATACATCATCAGTATCCCTCTCTAGCTCATCCTCGGATCCCAACTCGACCGCCCTCACCCCTCGAACTCTTTACGCCCAGACATTCGACCGACCCAGCTCTTCCCGCAGTTTACCATCTACACAATACAGGAAGAACATGAAGGAATTTACTGGTTTCGAAACCACAGAGGCCGAATTCGACGCTTTACCGCTTGCTGTACGAAGAAAGGTATGTAGTACAATATTCTTAACCGAGTGGGGTAATGGACGGGAATCTGGGGAGAAAGTAGTCAGAACTATCATGCTTGAGAGGGTGTCTGTAAGAACTGTAGACATGCTACAGTTTACACGCTCAATAACCACCTCATTTGAGCTAGATGGTGTGATTTATTGATGCCCCAGACTTTCCCATCTTGCCCCTAGTTTTGGTCGACGTTCTACTCTCCCTTGAATACTCCGTAGTGCGGGAGTTACCATTAGTCCTCCCTAGTCATCACTGGTTTGAGCTATTCGACACGCCGTTAAGAATGCTACACCCAAATTTGCAAAATAGCGGTGTATTGATCTCACACGCCCAAAGCGCGATGCAGCTTGTCTGCGCCATCACCTGCAAGCCGCGATAGCTTCAGACAGCTTTCCTCATTTTAATTTTGCCTTGGCTACACTGAAACTGACACTCCTTCTCCATTAGTACTTTTCAACGTTAGAGCGATTGAGATTCGCACAAAACAGCAGAACCAACGCACTTAATGAGCTACCTATACAACGAACCCGAAAGGGCTCGATAGCAGATCGTCGAGGCTTGAATACCCCTATGATTTCACCTCCACGAAAACCTTCTGGACGACTACGAAAGCCCGCAAAGCAACATTCGGTCACCAGTAGTGAGGCGTCGTGGTTCTTGACTCTACCGGACAAGATCAAAAAGCAACATTTCACGCGAGAGGAACAGGTCGTATTGGCTGGACGTTTAAGGGAGAGCGTGATTCTCGATGCGGCGGACGAGTCAGTGTATAAAGCTAAACAACGTCAACTAAATCGAAGTTTGACGGTACCTTCGGCTTCTACGACTCCTACAACACCTATAACCCCGGGGAGCAGTGGCTCGAGTCGACGTAGCCAGGACACGAAAAGCAGTATGGCTGCTGCCATGTTTGACAGCTTTCGGTGGATGGATGAGGAAAGTGATCTGGATCTGCGCTTAGTGCTGGATGATTACCATGCCAACCTGGATGGCTGTCCCTCCCCGACAAGTGCTAGGAGACCATCCTTTCGCAGACAAATGTCAATCTCTAAAAGACCTTTCGGGAAGGGCTCCCTTCCGTCACTACAACACCACAGTCCTCGCCCTCCCCCTCCGCCTCAAAGCAGTCACAGTAGTCACAATCGACAACAATCTCGAGCACTCTCCCTTATACAACCGAAGCATGTCCCCCAGAGCTCGGTATCGTCGATAGATCCCAACGCAAAACATTATCAAGACCCCGAAGCACGGTTGAAGCTACGAGTATACCTGGCCTCGCCGCAGAAGTTTGACGAGGCAATCGAATTTGGATTTCCTGCATTGGATGGGACAGACAAGGAGAACAACCCCCCGAGACGAATGTCGAAGGAACAAGCATTGAAGGGACGGTCATCAAAGGACGCCGCTGGTTTTAAAAGCTCATTTGCTACAGACGGTGGCATCTCATTTCTGGATGATACAGCGTCCCTATTCGACGACGACGTTTCAATGCCCGACCTCGACTCGCCGATTACACCTCAAGGTCCCGATATTGTTTACCGACCTCCACCAAGAACTTCGACTTCTGCATATGCATACAGTGGTGCTAAAAGCAGCAAGACCTCGGCCGATTACTCGCACCTTGGTATCACGAAGCCTACGGTGGTGAAGCCGCAGGATGGCTATACACAAGCAATGGCAGGGAGCAGAGAGATGACAATGAGGATGACATTGACGCGGCCGGATTTACGGGCAGATGAGACGACGCTATATGGATGGCAAATGACGAAGGCCCCTCTCAAGGAAGCGGATCTGCCGATGGAAGATGATATGGATGAGAAGTTGGAAAGCAGGGGTCCATTTGGGGGCCCCGATGGGTGGGGCCACTCAGAGAAGGAGGACGGAGTCGTCAAAAGATTTTGGAACAGGGTGAAGAGCTCTCAAAGGAAAGCGACTTAGATGGATAGCACTAGAGCATTTGATTGTCTTTGTATAATTTAGCGGGGGCATAAGGAGTCCTGGATGTTACATGGCAGGATAGCATATGTTGCATCAGGTTGGGCTTGATACCACTCGTTGATTATAATATATTCGATTCTCTAATTCGCCTTCTCCAACCACCCCCGTCCTATATGACTTTACTTGGGATTATGAAGTAATGAGGAGTATTTCTTGTGGGGGCCGCATGAAGAACTGCCTTCTATTCGCGTTTGCACTGAAGCCTGGGTTTGAATTTGCATAAAGAAGCTTGACTTGCTCCCAAGTGCCAAGCTCTTTGTCCGAGGCCTATAAGCCAGATTTGGGTGGAACATTAAATATACCAGTTGCATACTGGTGGACTGAGTAGCTGTCCGGTGCGACGACATCACTTAGAAATGTAAACCGAGATAAGAACACTGTAATATAAGAACAGGACAGACTAGGCAAGGCAAGTTGGAAGTTATCCTAGAAATCCTTTAGCTATAAAGAGGCGGCACTTGCCCCACCCACCCCTGTCAACCTGTGAAATCGCCCGAAACATCAGGAGCTGACGCTGCAAGGCAAGTACCTCCGTACCGTACATGAAGCCAACTTGACAGTATCCAACCTGTCCTGTTCACAACTCCTCCATCCTCCATCCTCTTTTCAACTCAAATTCACCGGCCGAACTACGGATATCAATCTTCGCCCTTCCCTCATCCAACCGCACTTTCTACCATTTGACAAGCACCAAGCAAGCTTGATGCGCTTCCACAATTTCAGCTCGCGATCATGAGGCTGCAGTGGCGGAACCTTCTGCTGTCCAGCGCTCTCCTTTCAAAGGCCTGGGCAAAGAAAGATGCCCCGAAAGTCGACACCGCAAAGTTCGACTTCATTCCCTTCAACTTGAATTACTTCGAGGACTCAGATGTGATTCTGTTTGAGAGCGAGCTCGACAGGGACGTCTACCGCTCAGAGGATGCTGGCGTAACCTGGGCACCGGTGGACGGGGTTCCAAAGGGAAAGCTTCTGGAATTGTCGATGCATCCTGATGATCATCAAAGAGCGTATATCATTACAACCGAGACCACTCATTATCGGACTAGTGATCGGGGCAAGACGTGGGAGGAGTTCTCTACAGATGCGCAGGCGACCATATTCAGAGAGGCTCTGACATATCATGCTGGGGATCCAGATCGAATTATATTTAATGGGATGGACTGTACGGGGATATTCTGCGAAGAAGTGGTATGCCGTCTGCAAAGTGTAGTGTCTGAGAACTGTACTGACTTATTGATAGACTTTATATACTACGGATGGATTCTCAAAGGACCCCAAGATACTTCGGTCTGATACTGTTGGCTGCCACTGGGCTAAATCATCGCCGCAATTTACGACTGGGGATGCGGATAAGGATGCGAATAGGATTCTATGCGTCGTGAAGGGTCGGTTCTCTCCCTGGAGGAAAGACTTTCGCCTCCTCGTCTCAGATGATTTCTTCAAGTTCGAGGCGGACACCATACAGGAATTCGAGCCAGAACTCGAGCCAGGGCGGACTGTCCAGGGTATCATCAACATGGCCGTAGTCACAAACTACTTGATTGCTGCTGCAACTGCGCCAGGCACTGACGAGATGGCTATGTATGTTTCTGACGATACTGTCAAATGGCATCGAGCAATCTTCCCACATGACCACAAATTGACAGAGAAGGCGTACACAATACTCGAAGGGACCAACTATAGCATTCAGATTGATGTTATGACCAGCAAGCCTTCCCAACCGATGGGCGTATTTCTCAGCAGTAATTCGAACGGAACATACTTTACTCGGAATATTGAGAATACAAATAGAAATATATGGGGTCTTGTGGACTTTGAGAAAGTTTCTGGAATACAGGGAATCGTCTTAGTAAATATTGTTGACAATCCAAAAGATGTCGAGGATCTCGGCATGGCCAAGAAGATAATATCCAAGATCAGTTTCGATGATGGCCGAAATTTTGATGATATCACCTGCGACGGGAAGAACCTCCATCTTCACTCGGTAACTGATCTCTCGAATTCTGGCCGAGTCTTTTCTAGCCCCGCTCCAGGCCTTATTATGGGTATTGGCAATACTGGAGACCAGCTCAAAGACTACAGTGATGGTAATCTTTACGTTTCTGATAATGCTGGTTTAACGTGGCGACTGGCACAAAAAGGGCCTCATAAGTATGAATTCGGAGACCAAGGTTCTATTTTAGTTGCAATCAAGGATGAGCACAATGACCTCACGGACGAAATTCAATATTCAATAAATCACGGAAAGGACTGGCAAAAGGTCGACCTCGGCATGAAAGTGAGACCACTTCAGTTGACGACCACTCAAGACTCCACCAGTCTCAAATTCTTGCTCGAGGCAGTCGGCGGCGAGAAAGACAATCCAGCAGGCTACATCATCGCCATTGACTTCGACGGCATGCACGAAGCTCAGTGTAAGAAAAAGGACATGGAAGACTGGCCAGCCCGAGTTGACGAGGATGGTAACCCGACCTGTGTCATGGGTCACAAGCAATCGTACAGCCGGCGAAAGCCTGATGCAGATTGCTTTCTCAAGAAGGTATTCGAAGATCCTGAAGTTATTTCAGAGCCTTGCGAATGCGCGGATGAGGATTTTGAATGTGACTATAACTTTGTCCGAAGTGCGGATCGCAAGGAGTGTCATCTCGCTCCTGGTGCAGCTTTGGTCCGCCCAGCAGATGTGTGTAAAGAGACAGCTTCACCCGAAGATACCTTCCAGGGCTCTTCCGGGTGGCGCAAAATTCCCGAGAATAAGTGTAAAGGGGGCATCAAAAAGGACGAATTGAAAGAATGGAAGTGTGGAGACACGGGCGGCGTCCATGAACCAGCTTCGGGCAAAATTTCTAAAAACCAGAAGGCTATCCCAGGGGGCAGGTTCCGGCAAATTGTTTACCTTGAGAGAACCGATATAAGTACTGGTGACGATGAAACGCTTCTTGTCCGCACTGATGCGGGCGTTTTTCTGTCCCATGATCACGGCAAAACCTGGGAGGAGATCTTGGAAGACGAGGAGATAGAATCAATCTATCCACACCCACACTTCAAAGATGTGGTATTCTTTACTACCTCCACGAAAAAGGTGTTTTACTCGACCGAACGTGGAAATCATATAAGGTCGTTCGACGCCCCTCGGCCCCCAAATAAACAAGACTTGCCGGTCATGAATTTCCACTGGAAAAACAAGGACTGGATAATCTGGACCGGAGCAGAGGAGTGTGATAAAAAGGAGACATGTCACTCCATTGCCTCCGTCACCCGAGACCGAGGCGACGACGGCTTCAAAACTATGCAACGATACGTTGACAAATGCCAATTTGTGAAAGAGGAGCACAGCCTTTATTTTGACTCTCCCGAAAAGGTTGGCAAGAACAAGGACACCGACGAAAAGGATAAACTCATCTATTGCAAGGTCCGCGAGAAGGAGCGCAATAATGATGACGGTAACAACCCCTGGCAACTTGTTTCGAGTGAAGACTTCTTCCAGGAGCCTCCGAAAGTTCATTTCTCGGACGTGGTGGACTACGCCACCATGTCGGAATTCATTGTCGTTGCCACTAAGGACTCGGTGCGTGAGACACTGAAAGTCGACGCCAGTGTCGATGGACGAAATTTCGCTGATGCTGAATTCCCCCACAATTTCGAGGTGACCCATCAAGTAGCGTATACCGTACTCGATAGCTCGACGCATTCGGTTTTCATGCATGTAACTGTTGAAGGCGACCCGGGCTTTGAGTATGGAACTATCATTAAAAGCAACTCTAATGGTACCTCCTACGTCAAGACTTTGGAAGCTGTTGATCGAGATCGTTCTGGATATGTCGACTTTGAGAAAACCTTTGGGCTCGAAGGGGTCGCTATGGTAAACACAGTCGAGAATTACAATTCCAAGGACTACAAGAAAGAGGGCAAGAAGATGAAAACCCAGATCACTCACAATGATGGCGCTGAATGGAATTACCTACCACCGCCAGCTGTAGATGTTGATGGCAAGAAATTTGGCTGCAAGGGTAGCGTCAAGGATTGCTCTCTTAATATTCACGGATACACGGAACGATCGGACAAGTCCCATACCTATTCCTCATCCTCCGCCATTGGTCTTATGCTTGCTACTGGTAATGTTGGCCAATACCTAACGAAAGACGACGGAGATACCTTCATGACTTCGGATGGTGGTATCAACTGGATTGCTGTCAAGAAGGGCAAGTACATGTGGGAATACGGCGACCAGGGTTCAATTGTTGTCATCGTCAAGGATGGTGAAGCGACGGACGTTGTTCATTTCACTTTGGATGAGGGCAAGACCTGGCAGGACTTTACATTCTCAGACCATGAGATCCGAATAGAAGATATCACAACCGTTCCCAGCGACAACTCCCGAAACTTCCTTCTATGGGCTAAAGATGGCGGCGACTTAGTCACCATCAATCTCGACTTCACGGGGCTTACAGATAATCAATGCAAGCTGGATGAAGAGAATGTTGAAGCGGGTGATTATTACCTCTGGACTCCCCAACACCCGAACCAAAAGGATGATTGCCTTTTCGGGCATGTTTCGCAATATCACCGCAAGAGGATCGACCGCACTTGTTACAACGGTCGCATGATTCCGAGTCTACACGAAGTTGCAAGGAATTGTACTTGCGCAAGACGAGATTACGAGTGGTCAGTTTTCTTAATATATTTCCTTTAATTTGTTAGCTAACCTCATGCAGCGACTTCAACTACCAGCGCCAATCCGACGGTTCCTGTGCTCTTGTTGAGGGTCTGTCCCCCGCAGATCATTCTTTGCAATGCGCCGATGATCCCGACCAAAAATTGTATTACGAACCTACAGGTTACAGGAAACTCACCACGGACACTTGCCAAGGCGGTACTCTATTCGAAGTCAGCACGCCCCACCCGTGCCCAGGGCATGAAGAGGAGTTTAAAAAGAAGCATGGCGCCTCGGGTGTTGGCATCTTCTTCGCTATCGTTATTCCCATTGCTGTGGCTGCTGGTGTCGGATACTGGGTCTGGCGCAACTGGGCTTCTAAGTTCGGCCAGATTAGACTTGGTGAACAATGTAAGCCCAAACACCCATTTCCGTAATTGCGATATTTGCTAACAACTTCACAGCATCGTTCGATGGCGAAGCGCCATGGATCAAATATCCAGTCCTCGTGGTAGCCGGCATCGTGGCCGTCGCACAAGCCCTCCCACTGCTCGCCGCTAGTCTCTGGCGTTCAGCCAGCGGAGCATTTGGCAGGAGCAGAGGCGCAAGATTTACGACGAGAGACAGCTTTGCTAGAGGTAGGGGCGATTACGCGGTTGTGGATGATGATGAAGGCGAGCTGTTGGGCGAGGAAAGTGATGAAGAGGTTTGAATAGAAGGGCTTTTTCTTTGGGTTTGCTGAAAAGCGAATGGATAGGCGGCGGTGTTGGATGATGCAGATGCACATACTCTCTCGTTTTTGGTACATTAGATTAAGCGTGGTCCTTACAGTACGGCCTGATGACGTGTATATCATAAATTCCTTTGCGTTGTAATATGTGCCTTCATTGAAGATTTTTTCCAATCTTCCTACTATATTGCACAAGGAGCTTGGATTCCACTAAGATTCAAACCCCAGGACACCGGTTCCGGATCAGACAGCGAAGGCAACGGGCTGAAATACTCGTAAACTTCATTCTCATTTCTCTAGCCCTCCAAGACAGGTGCCACAAACGGGGATATTCCAGTCGTGCCGTCACAGCTCTTGTAACTGGCAGTCAAACGCTTACCTCTACGACCAGGGAGCTGCGAGGTCGGCATTGCTTGACATGGAGAGATTTCCGATTTTATCATGCCTCAGAAGTCCCGAGATATTGAAAAGATACTTGGAATAAAATTAAAGCTGACCCTGTCGGAATAAAAGACCTGCTTACATCCACAACGGATTGCGGCATCAAGAAGCCGGCGATGATGCTGCCGCGGAATTGGTCTTGAGATGGTTAATGGTCGAGAGGGGCGTACGGAGGTCTTCGGCGATTTTGATGCTATGTATCATGTTGATAGAGAGACGTAATACTGAGAAGTGTTAGAAGAGCGACACGGGCAAGAAGCGAGAGGGAGATGAGGTTTATAGGTTTGATATTGCAGTCTGCAGCTGTTAGTACGCGAATGAGGGCGCTCATCGTTGATACTCTGTTATTAACTCCTCTTAGCTATAGAAGAACAGAGTGGTTGAGTACTGTTACGCCGTTGGCAGGCAAGGGACTTTTGTGCTGCTTTGCTTCGCGAGTGGCCTAGGAAAATCCATGGTGGTTGAAGTTTGTCTGCATTGCGACGTGCTTGCCCATCTTTCGGCCTAGCTTTGAAAGTTGGATGGGTGCATTTGCCCAGGTGTCGTTTGCATCTAGAATGAGAGGGCGTGGCTGCAAGGCCTCTAGTAGAAATGGAAATGACAGACGTGGTCGATGTGGAGCAAGACTTCTCCGGTAGACTTCAGTTGTGCTGGCGTCAATTAGTATGAGTCTGTACGCTGATATGGACGGTTGGGTTCTCTTTGATGTACTCGATAGCAGTATTCCAGTAGGCCTCGGTAGACGTAGAAGGGGTTTTGATGATAGCTTTGGTATCGTTGCCAATAGCATATGAGCGAGTACAGTCTTGAGGATTGAGAATCAGTCATCTAGAATGAGACAATCGAGGCATAACTAACCTAGGAGAAGAACACTGTCCGGATACCGATGAACTAATCTATGGCACGGAGCATCGAGTGACTTGTACAAAGAATCTAGTTAAAGCTTGGAATGTATAGGAAGGAGAGCCGATTCTATAGGAATGAACTGTCGGCAAGGAGCTTTTTCGGCAACGGGTGTCCGAATACTGATTGCGTATAAGTTCAAATAAGCAGAAGCTTCCAACGAACAAAGCTATCCATGCATTGGCGCAAGTACATGCACAGACATTGGTCTGGGGGTGCCTTTAGCTAGAAGGATATGCCCCGTGGGACCAATCTTTTTGTTCGCTATCAGGAAAGAAGTCCAGATGGACATATTTTTGGTACTTTTTAAATTTTGTTTTTCATAGGTCATCCATCTAAAGGATTACTGCACTGCAGGTTCTCAGAGTCAGCGTTGCCTCCCTTTAAATCGGGAGTATTTGAATCTCTTAGAATTCTTGAGTCACTCCAAATAAGGAGATCTATGCTGGGAAGCCTACATCGACGAGGCTCATTATGTGAGGTGTTGACCAAATTGACATAAGAGCAGCCTCAAGGCCCGAAATCACATCTTTGACGAAAGCCTTGCGAGTCTTGATGTGGTTGCACTCTGCGTGAAATATTATTAGGTAACCTGATTGAGAAAGCTAGCAAGCTTATCTTTTCCATCGATGTCTGTTGCTCTTTGAGAGATTGTTAAGTTTATTCGTTTTAGCCATTCGAAATCACTCATATTCCATTCGTAGGATGAAAACTACTGCTCTGTGACTTGTCTCCGATGTGGAATGTCTTGCCAATAGGAGATTTTTTCAAATCTTGACCCATGATGATAGAGAAACGACACCAACTTTCTGCATAACACCTGACGGGGTGATTGGTCTGGGCCAGGGCCAGATGAGATCAACCCTTCCACTGTGAACTCATCACCTTTTATTAGGCAAGGAATCATACTTTCGACATCGTTGGGGATGAAGCCGGTTTGAAGGCGCCGTATTGCCGGTTTGGTCAAGGAATAATACAAATCCGTACAAGATTTATACTGGAGCGGCTCCGAGTAAAAAGTAAGAAGATTGCTGTTGTACGTCTAGTTGAAAACATCCTCTGCCTCGACCCAGGTGAGCGGTTGAGGACCAGCGTCTTCCATGGGAAGCTCTGTCTGCAGCATTGACTGGTGATGAAAGATTCACAAGTAAACCTATTATGTAGGTTAATCAAGTGCCTAGACTCTGCACTAAAGTTGCGGCCTTCCATCACGAACTTTTTAGGACTACCAATTCTGCGTCAAGCAGACGGATCTGACTCTCTGATTGAGTTGACTCAACTGGCCGCACTGAAACGGAAGACAATGCGGGAAAAGAGAGGATAGAAGAAATAAACTTTAAAGCCGAAAGGGAATTATGGGCGAGTGCAATACTTCTTTCCTGGCAAATTTTTGAGAGGAAAATGCGGGAGTGCTGCCAGATGAGTGTTCGAATTAATTTTCTTCGAGGTGACCGTTGTTGCCAGTCGCTCTTGCTTTATAAAATTTTTGCCATACCACGGCTTAGCACTTTGGATGAACCTTCAAGCAGGTTTGCCATCACTTCGGCTCGTCGAAGCATTTGATCTCAAATTGGTGATATATTTCTATTTCAGTTGGTTGAACTTGCAACAGACTAATATAGCTTCTGTAAGCTAAACGCCAGAACCCTTCTGTCAAATAGCAGGAAATATACACGCCTGGATTCAGTAGTAAACGAATTGATCTTAAAATAGAAAATTAAGCCTTTCATGTTATGTTTGAATATCTCAAATGCCGCGAGACAGGGGGAAATGTTTGGCTTGAATTCGTCCGAATCTAAAACCACGCAGCACATGGAGAATTAAGTAGTGAGTAGAGTAGCTGGGCAATTCAAGGCCTTATCCAGGGAAAGAAGTGAGAAAGGGGATATAAAGGGATGAAAAGGGATAACGGGAATCAACTTGTTTGATCGGAGGAAATGCGTGAAAAGAAAGACGACTTGAGGGTACGGAAGAAACCAAGCATGCATTATTATAGAATTACGGGATACTTAAAATACCTAAAATACAAGTATTGGTTTTATGAATACATATATAGATGTATAGGTATGTAAATGCAAAATGCAAAATGAAAATGTAAATGTGAAAATAAAAGGAAAGGAAAGCAAGGCTCCGCTCCGGAACAACTCGGGAATTTGAGCAGATCCACAAATCCTTCCCTAAAGCGACTAGCGGCCTTAGCTTCATTTGATTCCTGTCGACCTTCGCTCGTCGAATCTTTGCATTTAACAGAGTGGTCCTCATACCAACACAACTACACCTCCCATCTCCCATCTCCTCTCCATCAGTTGCGCCTGCGATTGATTCTTTTCTCCTTCCCTTCATACTTAGAGTCTGGTCATCATGTTCCGTCAAGCATTGAAGACCGCCGCCCCCCGGGTGGGCGCAATCTCTGCCAGAACCGCGGTACGTACCCTTCAATCATCCCCAAGGCCCTTGTACCAAGCTTCAATGGACCTCGATACTCTCAATGGCCTTCTCCCAGCATCTACAAGCTCAATTGAGTTGCAGCGCTGGTGGCAGATGTGGTTGAGAGCTGTCTGTTGAGCTTCAACAGCTCGCTCTGTTGTTTTCGGCCTATACTCTCGGCTAACGTAACATCTACAGGGACGAAGAGCCTCCCCAGCAGCATTCAACGCTGCCTCCAACCAAATCCGAAGCTACGCATCGGCCGAAAAGGCAACACCTACCGAAGTCTCTTCGATCCTCGAGCAGAGAATTAGAGGCGTGCGTGATGAGGCCGGTCTTGCCGAGACTGGACGTGTTTTATCTGTCGGGTACGTTGATGAGCACATAAACCGCCAATGAGCAACAACAGCTACATCTGGGGTCACGGGCAAAGAATGGAGTACTGACTGGGGTAACAGTGATGGTATCGCTCGTGTCCACGGTATGAGCAATGTCCAGGCTGAGGAACTTGTTGAGTAAGTGTTATGCATCCAGGAGGAGATGATGTCTGGCTAAACAAGTACTGCAGGTTTGCATCCGGTGTCAAGGGCATGTGCATGAACTTGGAAGCTGGCCAAGTCGGTGTTGTGCTCTTTGGTTCTGATCGTTTGGTCAAGGAGGGTGAGACTGTCAAACGTACCGGAGAGATCGTGAGTTTCAAGAATAATCATTCTAAAAGCTGGCAGAATGCTTATGGAGTATAGGTCGATGTTCCTGTCGGAATTGAGATGCTCGGCCGTGTCGTCGATGCTCTGGGAAACCCAATTGATGGCAAGGGACCCATCAAGACCACCGAGAAGCGCCGTGCTCAATTGAAGGCACCCGGTATCTTGCCTCGACACTCCGTCAACCAGCCCGTACAGACTGGTCTTAAGTCCGTCGACGCAATGGTGCCTATTGGACGTGGTCAGCGTGAGTTGATTATTGGTGATCGTCAAACCGGAAAGACTGCCGTTGCTCTCGATGCTATTCTGAACCAAAAGCGATGGAACGACGGAAACGACGAGACCAAGAAGCTTTACTGTGTCTACGTTGCCGTTGGGCAAAAGCGATCAACTGTTGCTCAGCTCGTCAAGACCCTTGAGGAGAATGATGCCATGAAGTACTCCATTGTCGTTGCCGCCACTGCCTCCGAAGCCGTATGTATTCCACCCTTCTGTGTCTGATGCATCTCTGACAGGTTTACATAGGCACCTTTGCAGTATATCGCGCCCTTTACTGGTTCGTCAATTTCTCATTTTTCTTTGCATCTTCCCCATTGCTCCTTCCCATCTTCCCCATTGCCCCTTCCTCCGACTTGTTGCGTCGAGCAGGGTACCCACGCAAGGCGTGGAGTGTGCCCATCAACTTGATCATGATCGCGACTTCCTTCCCGGCTTCGACGGTGCTGCCTTCATGCACTTCTTCTTCACTTCTGGACTTCTCTTCTTCAACAACCTCCTCACCACAACGCGTTCTTCTCTACCTTGAACACGCTTGAATTGAGTCTGTACTATCTTCTGTACATCTTCTCGTCGATACCACCGATCTTCAGGTCAGACCAGTCTGGCGCCTTTGTGACACTTATCGACGGCCCCGATTTGGACGGCGTCCAAGTAAGCAATTCCCACCCATTGCCGTATGCAAGCTAATATATGACAGGTAATGGCTACAATGTCTGCCGTCCCGGGCCCGCTGCAGAAGCTTGTGGACGATTACATGTTTCAACATGTCAATCTCAATGCTCCAGACGGGTACATCAATCCAGACTTCAAGATTGTATTGCAAGCAGAGGCCGGCCGCAACATTTGTGCTGCTACACCTCTCACATTCGCACCGGGCCTCGAGGTTCTTCAATCTGATACGCCGCCAACGCCCGACTTCTGGTTGTCTACTCCCAAGCCTCTAGACAAGTCCTGGGCTGTGTACGCCGCGCTCCTGACCAAAGACGGTTGCGAGCCGGGTCTGTGCATTGGTTCTGGAACTGATGCCGTCGACGGGTACATGGGTCGCGTCGCCCATTACTCCGACAAGAGGCATCCTCGACTCCCTCGTTTTGTCCGCCTTCTCTACGACAAAGGCTACGACCTCGCTCACATTGGTCTGCTTTGCTGGGCGACTATACCATCTGTTATAATCATGCCGCGAGCAAGACGGCGGTTCATCGCTATCGAGGGAACATTCACGAACATCTTCTACTCTGCGATTCCCACCTGCATGGACGCGCTGTGGACTGGTCTAGTGCCATGGTCTCGGGACGACGTCCTCTGGCGCCCGCTCAATTCCCACACACCATTCAAGGAGGGTGTCGTTGGCGACTTGAAGATGACCGCAGAAGAGCTTCTTGCCCTTGCAGCGGAGCGAAAGAAGCGCGCAGTGCAGCATTCGAAGAATGCCTATGCAAAGAATGCGCAAAGAATGAGAGAGACATACGACCGCGAACGTGCTCAAGACATCGATGCATTCCGCTTGAAGAAGCGTATTCAGGCAATTGCATGGGTCGCGAAGAACAAGAAGGCAAGGGCCGCGAGCAATAAATCCAAGAAAAAAGCCGTTGCAAAAAAGCGATTCTACTGTTCATACTGCAAGATGGCATTCGCGGACAGCACCAAGCTCAAGAGACACAAGAACTCTGCCGCACACAAGCATCGGCTCAATGGACGCCGTCCGACTACCAAACAACGCAGTGACCAAGCATCGCGTGCTCGAATCCGTACCGCCAGGACATTCTACTGCAAACCATGTGATCAAACCTTCGATTCTGCATACCATCTGGACGCCCACAAGACTTCCAGCCGCCATCTGAAGAAGGCTGTCCTGGCGGCCAATTCTTTTACCTAACTGCCTCTCGCCACCTTTTTGGAAGACCATCCTTATAATCGGCAGTGCTGATTCGGACGCTGTCCAACCTTGCTACCGTCCTTATCGGCTGACAGTTTTTTCCCTTTCGTCACTTGTTCACAGAGTTGTCTGACAATAATGCTATATTGATACACTGCTAACATATCTATAACAGGCACTTCCATGGTAAATAAGATCCCCCCTCTTGCGCTCGGACAATACCTTCCCCCTTCCTCCCTTCTCATAGAAGAATACATGCTAACATTATGTGCAGGGTGAATGGTTCCGTGACAATGGCAAGCACGCAGTCATCGTTTTCGACGATCTCTCCAAGCAGGCTGTTGCATACCGTCAAATGTCTCTGCTTCTCCGTCGTCCTCCCGGACGTGAGGCCTACCCCGGTGACGTCTTCTACCTCCACTCTCGTCTCCTTGAGCGTGCTGCCAAGATGAGCGACAAGCACGGTGGTGGTTCTTTGACTGCTCTTCCCATCATCGAGACCCAGGGTGGTGATGTGTCTGCTTATATCCCAACCAACGTTATTTCGATTACCGATGGACAAATTTTCTTGGAAGCCGAACTCTTCTACAAGGGTGTCCGCCCTGCCATCAACGTCGGTCTTTCCGTGTCCCGTGTCGGATCTGCTGCCCAACTTAAGGCCATGAAGCAAGTCGCTGGTTCCCTGAAGCTTTTCTTGGCCCAATACCGTGAGGTCGCTGCTTTCGCTCAATTCGGTTCTGATTTGGATGCTGCCACCAAGCAAACTCTTAACCGTGGTGAACGTGTAAGTTTTACAACTATATTGATCCTTTCATTATACGAGTATTTGCTAACAAACCTCCCTAGTTGACTGAGCTCCTCAAGCAAAAGCAATACTCCCCAATGGCCGTAAACGAAATGGTTCCCCTCATCTACGCCGGTGTTAACGGACACTTGGACACTGTCCCCGTCAACAAGATCCTGCAATGGGAGGCTGACTTCATTGCTCACATGAAGACCAACGAGAGCGATCTGCTGGCCACGATTGACAAAGAGGGTGCGTTGAGCAAAGATCTCGAAGCGAAATTGAAGGACGTTGTTGTGACCTTCACAAAGAGCTTTACATAAGCGCGTACATAAAGGATAAATGCTACTCCGCCTGTCGTCTCTTTTGTTCTTGGCATGAATAGTCTGAGGAGGAGAAAATGGGAACAGATATGGTGATGGTAGTGGAAGGAGCGGGGGTGGACTTTTCGTTGCTATGGGAAGGTTGAAAGATAGTGGAGCTGTAAAATAGATGACAGTCGATACTTGCTGATTTCCTTTCTAAAAAGTCCAGTTATTTTGCGTGTGACTTCGCTACTGGTTGTGCAATTTGAGCTCACGAGGATGCAGCTCTTGGCTCCTACCGTATTGTACGGTCTTTCCCACAAAAGGATCATCAATTATGAACCCTAGGCTCTTTATTATACTTTCCTATGCTAGACGTAAAAAGTGGCAGTTACCTTACTCTTATCATCTTTTCATGTCCCACGCTACGTGGCATATTATAAATTGTTTGCCCCTTTTCTTTTCTGTCCGCCACCGGGAGGCTTCTTCTTTTTATGGAGACATCCGTGTAAAATACTATAGGAGAGGAGTAACGACAAGTTTACCTCAAATAATAGGGCAAGAGCGTCAGAGCGAGTCGGAGATTTGTAAACTGAAAGCGGAAAGGAGACCGTGCCACATTCTCGATTCCAAAATTGCCCTAATTCAGCTCAATATCGGCCCTTTGGTCTTGCAGTTCGGCTCCGTTTTTTTTTTTTTTTTCAGATTTTCATATCTGGGAAATACTTTATATGGCCAAAGGCAATGAATACATACTATCCTTAGTGCAGGTAAGCCTTGCCAATCACCGATTGATAAAACCCTCAAGCTGAGTCAGACACATCAGTGACATCACTCAAGCCTTTATATGTTTGTATATAACTTTCATTTTCATTTTTTCGTAGACAGCTACGTACCGCCTATTAACAGACACATCACCACTCGCAATGACCGCCGAGGTACAAAGTCGATTGTAACAAGCATGTAGCAGTCCAAAACCTAATCAACTATCTGTCCTGAGATCTGGATGAACCACCGATTCCAACAAGAGGAAAAAGGAAAGACAAGATGGGTATCATGGCGAACGCAATATTGACTGCATGGGCAACGAAATCGAGTGTTGTAGTATGCATAAGGTTCGTAGAATGATGGGCAATCTAGAGACAGATGCCTTTTTGGAAGAAGAAATATTTTCGACAATTATTTATAGTGTACTTCCAGGGGATCTGCCAGCCGAACGAGTTCAGACGCTGTTGAATTCGAAGTCGCGGGCTAGTCTGGAAGATAACAACGTCATCGTATCGGATGGCAAAAGTGCCTGTTAGGGTACAAGAGACTCCAATGAACTGGGCAAATATGCTCATCTGGCCTGGTTGTAACCGAAGCGAGTGAAACGGGGCGCACTGGGTGCTTTTGCGTGCAAGGTTCGGGACTGGAAGAATTCTCCTACTTCCTTTGCTTCATTCGCGGGGTAGCTAGGCGACTTTTGAGATTCGATATTGGCTCCCTGTGGAATTCGATTTTTTGACTTGAGCAGTAGTGGCTTGAGGCTTCTAACTTCCTCTTCAAACCTCCTTAAATGAACAGTTTCGCCTACTTCTTGCAGGACATCATTGCTGTCTTGACGGCCAAAAGCGCCAACGATAATTCCGCATTTGCGAAGTCTGTGCGGACCACCATCCGCGGCGTGAATGGTCACTAAACGGCCATGATCATACCCGCTTTCTGTGAAGCGCTTGTTCTCCCATGTTATGCAGCCGCGAGAACGCAGAGCATTTATATGCTGCTTAGCGTCTAGATCGAGAGGCTCATGCATACCATGAGCCGCGATAATTTGCATTCGCAGACCTCCTGGTTTGAAGAGCTCCTCATCGGTCATCATTGGTTTTGCTGGGGCGAGCTCAACAGCGTACAAGAGATTGTAGCCAAGGCTTTGCGCGATATTTTGACAGACAAAAGCCACTTTATTCTCTTCGGCCATTGAATCACCGGAGCTGCGTGATGTAAACGGCGAATTGGCGGATGGACTCTTAACGTGCGGAGGCAGCTCGGGCAGAGGTGGAAGGGCAACATCCATGCTCTTCGGAATCGGGATTCTACTCTGAATCTTTTTATTTTTGGGCGGCCATCCAAGAAGGGGTCGCTGTGGATCAACATCTATAATCTGCGAAGCCTCCGGCTGTTCTGCTGGCCATAGCTCGTTTTGAGGATTATCTGTAACAGAAGCATTGCTTGCCTCCTGGTAAACTTCTTCAGCACAGTCGTCATCATGTAGTGCCATGAAGTCTTCAACCGAAATGTCGAAATTTGCCTGTTCAAATTCCTCATGGAGGGAAAATGCAGGTGTGTTCGGGGGATGTGGGTGAAGAGATGTGATATCCGAGGAAGACCATGGCCGAGGCGAACAGGACCGGTAGTCATCGGAGTTTGGAGTGATAAGATTGTAAGAACTGACAGCGTGGTCAAACTCAGGATCAATGGTGAGTTTCCTACCCAGACTTCCGAGCCCCTGGGGATCGTGTTGACTGTCGATGAATACTGTGTTATTCTCTGAATTGGCAGAAGATGGCGGTGTATTTTCTTGATAACTAGAAAAGTAGCCTGGAACGGGATACTCTGTAAAGATTCCGCTTGTTCCACTTGGCGGAGTCTTCGGCTCCGTAACGCGTAATGCGGAAGGTAGGAGGCTATAATTAAGAAAGCTTCTTGCCTCGTCGTCAATCCTCGACTCCTGTTGCATAAAGTCTGTTCCTTGTAATTCAGATGCGATGTGGTTTAGATCCGCCATTATGCTTTGGCCCAAATGAAACAGCTTCGTCCGATGATTGGTGTCGAACGTGTCCCGGGGAGAATAATCAAATACTGCCAAAACGCCTATGGCGACCCCTTCCGGAGACAGTAGTGGTATTGCGGCAAAGAATCTGATACGATCAAGTTCACCATTGACGAGGGGACTATCTTGGAAGCGCCAGTCCTATCAATTTTAGCAAGGAGATTGAGTCATGGACGGATGTAACAAACCAAGTGGGTGTCTAGAACAGCCAAGGCGTCCGTGGTCAAAAGTGCATGTGCTCCCATGCTGATTTTACGCTTAATCTCCCCGGCGTCTTCTCTCGTTACAACTCTAAGGCGCTCAAACTCTTTGTCAAAGCAAGAGATCGACGCAAACTGCGTGTCGAGAACCTCCATTGCGGAGTATATGCATGCAGAAGCCTTCTCTTCTCCCCAACTATTCCAGGCAGGCTCGTAAGTGGCGCTCAGATCTAACCTCATTGGCTCATTTGGAGGGAAGATACTTGGGAGGTATCGAAATCTGGGACTGAGGAGAGGTGCATCAGGTAGGTGATTGAGGTTGAATTTACCCTGGGGAATGTCAGTGGAGATTCACACAGACAGTTTGACCGGCGGTGGACAAGATGACTGATATTGCGGGTGTAGCTAGGGAACAAATCTGCTGATAAGAGCAATACTGACAGTTGCGTAATTTTGGAGCCAAGAATTCCAGTGCTCGAACAAGCCCGGGTCTTGAGTTACAAGAGAGGCAACATAGTCAATCTGATCAGCTATTGAGCGATGAACAGCTCGAGGTTCATTATGTTCTTCTGGATAGTAATGATCATCTTGGTCTTCTTGGTCGTCTTGATCGTCTTGATGATCTTGATAGTTTCGGTTGTCTTTGGTCACCGGAACATCCGCAGTAGATCCGTCCTCCAAGGTATGGCCATACTCCGAGTCTGTTGCATAGCTCGAAGATGTGTGTTGAATGTCTGGTCCATAGATGGTGTCCGAAAGTTGCGAGCGATGTGCAGCTGTCTTTACGGGAAACTTCTTTGTGCGAGCACTATTACGACCGAATGGCTTCGCTTCGACTCTTGCCTTGGGCTTATTTTGCAAAGGTCTGATGAATGAACATGGCTGGACCAGGCCCTTAAGTTCATCATTGATCTTCTCATTCTGCGCCATAAGTTCATACTTGCGTTGTAGCACCTCATTGGTGACCCTTTTGATCTCCTTTTCTTTCTTACTGAAAATTTTGCTCATGAAGCTATAGCTTGCATATCTCTTTTTCGTCTCCTGGCTTGATGATGTCTTTGATACAAGCGTCAAAGAGCTGCTGTGAGACGAAGAGGAGGAACTAGGTGCATCTGTGACTCTAGTGCTAATGGCAGTCTGGTCGAGAATGAGGGGATTGTTATACATGGCTCTCGTGGCAGACATTCGAATAAGACGTTGTAACTCAAGGAGATGTGAAAGGCTTCCAATGAAGGAAGTTGCCAGTCAAAAGGCTATCTGTGAACGGAATTAGCAAAGCTTCATAGAATAGAGGACCCCAGGCCCTGTAACCTACTGATTGACTTTAACTCTAGCCCCTATTACAACGACTGGGGGCTGTGCCCAACTCCAGAGCAACTCGGTACTTGGCAAATCAGAAGTAAATCGATCTTCAAAAAAAGTTAGAATACTAAGTTTCCAATGTTCTAGGTCCGCTTTCAAACGATTTGACATCATTTGCCCATGTAGTGGTGTTCGTGCTCATATGTAGAGAATTGGGTAGGACAAGGGGGAAAAGCGGTCGGGGAGGGGGGCTTTCGCACATACCTGGAGACTCTGGCCGGTCTTGCTGCCTATCGTCTATATGTTTTCCGGTAGGAGGCTACCATCCAAGGCCTAAATAGCTAGAGCGCGTAAGCTAGAATATACACCACATGGGCTGGATCAAACGCGGAAATCGGGATTGAACGCTTTGTAAGAAAGGCACCAGCATCAGAGGACTTACCTTATTCGTACCTTCGAGACCCTCAAAATCTAGTTCCTACCGTGGATGAAGTCAGAGCGAAGCAGTTCGCGACACCTCAAAACCAAAGAGGGATGTTAGATGTGGCGGATATCAAGATTGAATCTGGGTGCAAGGTTCATAAAGGTACAGGTATGTAAGGACGGCGACGGCGACAATCGGAGAAATGCGGTAGGAAGATGGGGAGAGTAGGAAGAGTTGCCCTTTAACAACATTAGTGAATTGGTGCATATATTTGAAGGCGAAGTTCAAAAGTCGTAGCAGATTCACAACTGGGAAGAGGGGTAATACCAGTATCCGAATGATGGGAAGGAATACCCTCGATTCTGCTGCCGCCCTTTCGCCGCAGTGAAACCAACCCCTCGGCGGCACAAGTTGCTTATGACGGTTCTATCAAAGAGAATAGTGCAGAGTAAACTGACCTTTTCTGCCCGGCTAAAAATGCCACTTAGTATCAACACATCAGGCCCAGGATAGAACACCGCGGAGCATATGATTGTCGTATCCTATGTGTCGCACAAAGCAATAGGCGCGATTGATATGAACGCGTTGCTGCGGCAATGGAAGATGGCAAAGACGCAGGAGTTGAGGCAATATGTGGCCAAGACAGGTTCTATTCACAATATTCGTTCCGACACGGCAGAACAGGCCGCTCCAAAGATATGGATATCTGGGGTCTTTGAATGGCTCCAGAAACACAAATGGACCATGAACAGAATGTTGCCGAATAGGAAAAAAGACAAGACAGCTTTGTGCAACGCTTTGTATCCTTGCAGGCAGTGCAGCTCATGCGGACTGCAGTGGTGGAGTGTGGGCTTCTCGACTAGTGACACTGTGTAAGTTGTAGTTGTAGGACTGCAATGCAACTGAGGGGAACCCTATTTGACCTACCTAGGCTCTCAAAGGTACTTCTATACACGAGTAAGAAATCTGAAGACAAAAGACTCGGCCTAGATGCCGATGCTGATGCTGGATGATGAGATGTCACGGAATGAAAAGTCTTAGCGTTGGTCGGCTTGTCATTAATGATATGAAGAGTGCAAAGGCGGGAGACCCTGAGTTAGTGGGGTCTCAGATAGGACGGTATATCAAGTTGGCAAAGAGTGGTTGAACATGAACAGACAATACTGTACTGTATCATTCAGATCGCGCCTTCCTGGTCTGGAGCCCGTGTTGAATACCCATCATATTCCAAACCAATAAAGGCTAGGTAGGTACCTATCAAAGGCATGTACAAGTACACTCGGAAGGTAATCACGACCAGAGCAGAACTTACGGCATGGCATCTCGCCGCAGAGAGTCGGAGAGTCTGAATGCCCGTTCTTCCTTGCTTCTTCACCACAACATAACTCTATATTCTAACCCGTCCGATCTCCCGAGTAATTTGCAGTGCTACAGGTACCATCTTGCGGGCGGCATCTCACCGGGCCCTCCTGTGTAGCACTTCATAATGTTCGGGTCCGAGCCCGAGTCGCTGGTGGGCGATGAGATGAGATGAGAGTGAGGCGAGGCGAGGGGGTTGAGTGAGGTTGGTGGCGGCATTGGCGGGCTGGCGGGGAAGCAATGAAATGAAAAGGAGCTGCCGATCTGGCGGGAATGGTGCAGGCCAAGGCCAGACCCCAGCACAAAGACATGCGGTTCTCCCACGACCACGACCTCAAGTCAAGCTCTACTCTGCCTGGACTCGAGTCACTCGGCCTCGTACCTGAACTACTACGTCTTTGACAGTTTCACAGAACAAGCGGTGGGTATACGTATCTTGGGATCAAAGTGCAAGTGCTCTTTACCTCTGCGACGTTCCATGGTTTTGTTGTCACAATGCCATATTTACAGTTGGTCCGCTCATATTTGGCATCTCCGTCACAATTTTCGAGGTCCCTCCGGTTCATGTTGCTTTTTGTCGTTTTTTATTGTCTGTGATCGCCGTCAATATTCATAGGCAACTAGCGTTGCTGCTTGGTTTCCATGCTGTATTTGCTTTTGTCCGAAACTGCCTCAGCCTCTCGGAGAGCCCCTCGCCAAGTCCGCGTCAGACTTGAATGAAACCTTTCCAGTATATTTCATAGGTTCTGTTCGGGAAACGCGCACTCTGCATTGCCAATATGTATTGTTGCTCTCCACGTTCTGTGGTGATGGCTACAGCGAGATTCCCACGAAAGACAAACTTCTAAAGGACTTCTAGAATGTTGTGCAAATGTGCAGATCCTCACTGTCACTCAATACAGATATCATCGGACAAAGTCGCCGAAGTCACTTAATCTCGCGCGTTACCATATCACCATGTGACTATATACTTATTTTGGCTCAAATCGCTTCCCCAAATCACCGGATGGGATCACACCACATGCACATTCCCGTCTACCCGTTGCTGGGAACACTGCTTTGGGACTATACGACAGGTTTGACAAGATGCAAATATCCGGTGTCACTCACATGTCAGCCTCTGCCGAGATTCTCGTCATTTTTGGGTTGGCTGTGTGCTCTGACTTGTATAGAGAAGAGGCTCGACACCGAGGGTCGGAGTCAACAAACCATCTGCACGTCATTCTTAGTAACAGAGATGATAAGCCTGTACTATATTGATGCAGCCTTCTGCCTAGATGGAAATTTGTCAATGGTATAACAGATTTCGTTGTGTATAACTCCTGATATCTCCGACCATAAGACTGCCCTGAAGATCGCCTGAAAGTTTCCGATGCCGCGGAACGACCAGAATCTTCCGTGCCTATTGCAATTCATAGGGTTATCGTCTCCGACAGAGTTCAGAACACATATTCTAGTACTTTTAGTCTTGGACTGCTGACTGAAGTAACGATTCCACGGGCATGGGACCAAAAGGATTTCTCAAGACATGAACCTCGACCCTCACAGGAGGAAGTAAAGGGCATTTCCAAAGCTGGAATCGGAACCAATAGAGTAAATTGAAAGCATTGCGAGTGGAATGTTATGTGAAGAGTTTTTGTTTTTCTCGTTACTCATAAGAGGTTGTGCCTGGTGATTCTTGTCCCAGCCCAACACAACAAGAACCTCCTTCTATGCCTGAAACCTTTAGGTTGAAGGTTTTAGGATCGAATTTTAGATTTAGATTAAGAAGAATATTGAACGTGAACCGGTAGATACTGTGTAATTGCACAATAATAGATTTCATTTGGATCACGTGATGTCGAGTGACGAGCGCGTTTTGGGTGATATGTGCTTCACATCAACACGTTCACCACTTTATCTTTTTTCGATAAAGGTCCTCCTTGGTCCCAGATTTTCAAACTTTACAGACCTTCATCATCCGCCCTCCCAAATACTTTTATTGGACTCCGAGAAGCATCATCTCATAATGGCTCAGCGAGAAGTTGCTTGAGTCTCACTTGCAGATATGCGTCGTATGATGGCCGGAGGGAATGGCTCTGAAGCGTTCAAAAAGCCAAAGTGTGCAGTCTGCAACATCATATAGACGGATAACCGGAAACTACTGACCTGTGGACGCCGCAAGAAGACCCCATACTGCAGTAAGTCACCCGGTCTCCAAGAACAAACAACCAGGATTAACTATCTTTAGGCAAGGACTGCCAAGCAGAGAACCGGGGAACCCACAAGTTAACCTGCAAAGCGTAAAATTATATTGTTAACATCTCCCTCTGCCCCACCGGAATCACCAACCCCTCGGTAACCCGCACGCTCTCCTGCCCCTCAACCGCAACGTTCGAGCAATTGCACCGCGCCCTGCAAATAGCTTTCGGCTGGGCCAGCACGCACACCTACGATTTCAAAACCAAAGATCGAAACGTGCAACCATAGCTCCTATTCGACATGATGACATATATCACCCGCCGCATGAGACAAGACGCCGCCTAATTCGGCGATAACCCGTTACCAGACTCAGGACCGAGATAGAACCTCTTGCGGATCATCGAGAAAGGTCCAATGGGACCAGGTAGTTTTGCTTCCGCCAAAGGATTAGACTCAATGCACAATCGAGATCGTGTACATTCCTAGACTCCCAAAATAGATAGCAAGAAGATCAAACTAAGCAAAGTGCTGGAGAATAAGGAATATAAGGGCGCGAAAATTGAGTACGAGTATGATTTTGGCGACTGCTGGCAGCACACGGTTGATATTGCGGGGAGAGCGGAGGCGAGTAATCGGTTTTTGTGTTTGGAGGGCGAGGGACATAGTGTTGCGGAGGATGTGGGAGCCAATCAGGGTTGGTTGAAGCTGAGAGAGGCATACAGAACTGCGGATCCCACTACAGAGCAAAGGGAGAAGAGAACTTGGTTTGAGAGCGGGGCCAGTAACAATGATCCGAAGGGATTTGGAAATGGGAGGGAGTGGGATTAGGATGCGAATGCTGCCAATGCTAACTTGCGGCGCTGATGTGTAACTGCATTTTGGATACAGAGATTCCGAAGTAGAAACAGACTGGTATTAGCTAAACGTAACGCCATACCTACACATTACTCATCCCATGTCATGAAATCACTCCTTTTCATCTGCCTCATCCTCGCTATCTTCTTCGTCTTCATCTTCGTCTTCATCCTCTTCCTCTTTGACACAAGACTTCACAGGCGGCTCAACATCTGCCGGCTTCCAAGCCGTGCTATTGGGAGACTGCATCGACTCTAACTTGCTGATAGAATGCCGGGGCGTCTTGATTTCAAACCCAGATCCAGGGGCTCGTCGCCAGGTTGTTGAGGTGGGTGATTGCATGAGTGTTGGTGTCTCGATTGCATGTTCCGTTTCTGGGATGGTGAGAGGAGCTGGTACAGCTTTCCCCTTTTCTTTTGGCGGCTCTGCCTCTCCTACTCCGTCGAACGTCTCCACGGGTGGTGTCATCTTGTTATCCTTTGCCTTTTGTGCTGCTTCTTGTCCGGCCTGTCTTAATGCTAGGGATATAGTCGTAGGCGCGCCGCCTGTCGGGGGCTTCGAATCCGAGACTGAAGCTTCTGCGGATTTCGAACTTGCCGCTGGGGCTTTGGGGGCTGTTGAAGTGGGCGTAGAACCAGGCTTCTTGTTCTCTTGGGCAGCTATCACTGCGTCCGAGAGTTTGGATAGGGGTGTCGAGGGTCCGGCTTTTACTGCCTTATTCTTTACGATCTTGACGTGCTGCTTTAGCTCACCGTATTCGTTCCAGTCCTCGATTTCAACGAGATCCTACGTGGGAGTTAACGACTGTATATCTTCCCGGAAATGGGCAGGACCAACCCCGACTACGAAACCCTCTTGCACCAACCCAGGTATCTTCCTCACACGTCCAGATTCATCTTTTCCTGCTCTACGGCCCCATATCTGGCGGGCTTTCTCATCTGTAGCGATGTCGAGGGCTTTGAAGGGAATCTTGTTGGCTTTCAAGATCGTCTCGAGGCGAGAGGTCGCTGTGACAATATGAGACGATCCAGATGTCAGAGACGTGTAGAGGTAGAGAGCCGGGTCCGAATAATATGGATTTTCTGACATGTTGAAAGCGTGTGGTGAAGTTGTTGGGTCTAGTCTGGTGTTGTCGATTCAGATCGATCAACCGCTCGTTTCACAATTGCGTGAACGAGCGAGCCATGACTATAGTTTTTTTGCATAAAAAATGTCTCGTGAGCATTCACTCTAGGCTTTAGGGCAAGAATGTCACATTAGGCCGTTTATAAAAAGAGCATGATATCTTACCATTGGTACACGTCGCACGGCTTCAGGCCCATGCGTTATCATTATCGGCGCTTGCACTACTCGAGTACAGTATGGAGCTTCATTGAGGTCATAGTCATGCTGTGGCAGCCTCGGCTCCCCTGTGCCTAACTATTTCTCACTGTGCAACTCGCACCACAATGGTATCGCCCACGGGAGCTGCCTTGATAGCTCGGGCTCTGCATGAACTAGGTGTTAAGGTCATATTTGGACTTGTTGGAATCCCAGTGGTTCAAATTGCAGAAGAGGCAATTGCTCTGGGTATTAGGTTCATTGCCTTTCGAAACGAGCAATCTGCTTCCTACGCTGCTACAGCATATGGCTACTTGACGGGCAGACCGGGCGTTTGCCTAGTAGTTGGAGGTCCAGGAGTTCTCCATGCTATGGCTGGAATTGGCAATTCGTCTGCAAATGCCTTTCCTTTACTGCTATTAGCTGGCTCCAGCGAGACACATTTGGTTACTAAGGGGGCTTTCCAGGAGATGGATGCTATTTCACTTCTTACTCCCCATACGAAGATTGCAGTTCGGTCAAGTCTCGATTCGATACCCCAGAGTCTGACGAATGCCTACAAAACGTCATTCTATGGGAGATCAGGCCCCAGTTTCGTTGATCTACCCGCAGATTTCATCCAAGGAGAGGGGGAGGAGATAGCGACACGCATTGTGCCAGCACCTCCAAGAGCTGCCTCAGATCCAGAGAAAATCCAGAGCATTGTACAAATTCTCAAGTCCGCTAGAGCGCCTCTTGTGATTGTTGGAAAGGGGGCTGCATATTCGCAAGCAGAAGCTGCGATTCGGAAGTTGATTGACCAGAGCAAGATCCCCTTTTTACCTACACCTATGGGAAAAGGTGTCCTTCCCGATTCTCATCCATCAAATACCGCTACCGCGAGATCTGCTGCTCTGAAGGGTGCAGATGTCGTCTTGATCCTAGGAGCAAGATTGAACTGGATTCTACACTTTGGAGAAGATCCAAAATGGAACCCTGATGTGAAGATCATCCAGGTCGATATCTCAGCAGAAGAATTGGGTAAGAATAATGGTGATCCAGCATTGGGCGTCATTGGAGATGTCAAAGCCGTGACTACTCAACTCACCGAAGCTCTTGGGAATTGGGAATACAATATATCTTCAGAGTATGTAAAGTCACTGGAGGCTAGTGCTGCCAAAAACGAGGCCAAAGCAGAAAAGGCTGCGAAAGTGGACAAGAGTCCCATGACCTACGCAAGGACTTTCAATGTGATCAAGGAAACGCTCGATACGTTATCACAGCCAGGAGATGGTGGTGTTGTCTATGTATCTGAGGGAGCAAATACCATGGATATTTCCAGGAGCGCATTCCCGGTTGAGCACCCACGGCTACGTCTCGATGCAGGCACACATGCAACTATGGGCGTTGGTCTTGGGTACGCAATTGCAGCTCACTGTGCCTACAATTTCCCTTCCCCGGAAGCTACATCCGGACCGAAAACATGTCACAAGAAAGTCGTTTGCCTTGAAGGTGACTCGGCGTTTGGTTTCTCTTTGGCTGAGGTTGAAACGATGGCAAGATACCGGATGGATATTTTGATTTTCGTCATCAATAATGGAGGGGTATACCACGGGGACAGTGACGATTCGGATGCATGGTTACAGTTACAGAATAATACGATCGAGGGGAAGTCTCAGGGTGGGCTTCGAAGTTCCAGCTTAGGTTGGGAAGTTAGATATGAGAAAGTTGCAGAGATGTGCGGCGGGGAAGGATACCTAGTCCGCACACCAGAAGAGCTTGCAAGAGCTACAGAAGAGGGGTTCAAAGCATCTGTTCCAGTAGTAGTAAACGTGATTATCGAAGCAGGACAAGCGCAGAAACTGGTAAGTCAATTCGTTTGCATCTCCCCATCTTGAACGTGGGCTCGTGACTGACACCAGGCTAGGAATTTGCTTGGCAGAGTAATTCAAAAAAGACAAAGAAGAAAGAGTCCAGGTTGTAAAAGTGTCTTCTAGACATGCTGGGGCCAAAAAGAAATAATGCGAATGCGGCTGCCTGCACATGTATATGTACAATATCTCAAGCGAGACCAGACATTACAGATTCTGAAATAATAACATGAAGAAACTTCACGTTGAAGGCCCACCATGCAGTCGCAAGTGCCATTTCCACATTAAAGTCTTTGGGCTGTGGTGCTTTTAGAAACCGGGGACGCCTTTAATTCGCGCATGATGCCGTTGACCCCCTCATTTTGGCTATCTTGCAGCAGCTCAAGCTCAAGCTCAAAGTAGGAACATGAGTTCAATGTAAGTCCAAATTCCATATAACACTGCCTTTCCTCCCCGAATACCCAAGCTCTTTCCCTCAGTTCAACCTCAACACGCTGCTTGCTCTAGCAATAGCTGAATCAACATCCGCATCAACAGCGCAGTCCATGTCTAACATGCACATGTACATCTCCCGGAAGAAATCCCCCAAACGCAAATACATCACCATCGACAAGACCACCTACCCCCTCTCCCCCAGCATCCGTACCACGCTCGCCCAAAGACCACGCCCCGATGACCATCAATGCAACCCACGTCTCCGTGAACCTCAACCTCTCTACCTCTGCAATATTGACCCCCTCTCCCACCTCACCAAACTGGTCTGAATACAGCCCCCCATCACCATCAACACAACCCTCCCCATCAATCTTCATATCGTCCCCCCAACAACCCGCCCTTCTCACCCACCGCGCCGCCTCAGAACTTGACCTCCTCACCTCGCTATCCAAAACCCTTCACCCCGCAACCCTCAACATCTGATCTGGAAAAAAAGCTCAAGGAAGGCTTCGGGAAATGGGATAAGCGATACGAGGAGCAGCAGCTGACGGCTGCGCTTTCTAGTGCGGAGGCAAAGGGCCGTGAGAATGCGCGGAAGGAGTGGGGAGATGTAGAAGTAGAAGTGGTTATGGGGAGTGTCCTTGTGTGACCAGGTATTGAAGTATTGGCATGATTGAGTTGCTTGTCAATTTTGATTTCTACCTGCTAGTTGGGGTAGATAAAGGCGCTTTGACATTTGTAAAGATGGAGTTTTCACATGCAAGTTGGGTCATTTTGTTTTTATGGCCGCTTGATTAAGAGACCTATGGTTACAATCGCTCGCGCTGAAGTATCTATTGTCAATCTCTGCCGCGAAAGTCAACCATGCCATTTTCCATTGTATTTCCCCAAATTTTATTCTCGCAAGAAGAAAAGAAAAGAAGATCGAGTAGCGAATCGCAGAGAAAGTTCACCTCATCAAGCAAATTGCAACGCCAGTTCAGTCCATGTATCTCGTACCATTCCATTCCATTCCATATCGTGCAAGTCATTAATAAATCCCCCCCAAAAGCACTAATGAAACTTGTATCTATTATACAGCCCGTGACCGATCAATGCGAGAAGATCAATCCCGAGGAAGTGAAATCCATGACTGCTTATCCGAGGAGAATAGCACCAAGGGCGAGCAGACCCAGCGTGATGCCAGGGACAATGATGTGATCACCGGCGCTGACCGTCTTAGAGGTTGAAGCAGGTGGGGTGGTCGAGCTGGTCTTGCTTGCTGGGATGACGACAACGTTGGTGGTGAGTGCAGTGGTGATGCCTCTTGAAGACGAGGGAACGCTGCTGGTCACCGCGGGGACCGTGCTGTTGGGATAGCTTGGTGCGCTGGGGTTGCCTGGAGTTGGGAATGGCGATGCCTCCGGAGTTGACTCGGTGGAGGAGACATTGGCTGGTGGTACAACAGTGCTGTTGACGACCGGGTAGGTTGGGGTCTCCGTGGGAACGTACGAAGTTGAGATAGTTGAGGACGAGGCAGCTGGTGGAGGGACCACGACGGTCGCGGGAGTGGTGGGGACAGCTGGGGTGGAAGTCTCAACGGTCGCGGGAGTGGTAGGGGCAGCTGTGTGAAAAACAGAGGGTTAGATTGGCTTCTTGATGAACTCTAAGAGTGCAGAGCGATGATTTTCAAGGCATTTGGGGCTTGTTTTGAAACGCGCTCGAATAGGAAATAATGGATATCCAATTCACATACCTGGAGGGGGAACCTCGTAGCTCGAAGACGGAGTGGGAACCTCGGCGCTGGAAGATGGAGCAGCTGGATAAGTGGAAGAAACGGGAACTGGGGTGGATGCAATCTCAGTGGCGGAGGTCTCGCAAGATGAAGTCTGAGTGCTCAGGATCGTATCGGTGAACACGGATGAGGAGACGGGGACGATGGCAGTGCTGACAGCGGTCTTGCCAGGGCAAGATGGATGAGTGCCACAGTCAGTGATGGTCTCAATGTCAGTCTCGTAGACCGTGGAAACCGCTCCTTGAGCCACGACGGCAGAGATGAGTCCGCCAAAGGCGACGACGAGGATTGATGCGTGCATCTTAATTGATTGACTTGACTTGATGAGAATTAGAAGAGGCTGTTTAGGCTATTAACGAGCGTGGTACATAAAATGTGCCTGAGAAGGAAGATGCTGTATTATTCGTCTTGGTGTGGGTTTGTGGGTTGTATTGTTCAGGAAGTCGAGGATGGTGGGAAGTAGAAGTCCTCAGATCTTGAAGCGAGCAAGCAGGGCGACAAACAAAGGTGAATTGGGAAATGAATGTCTTGATCACATGCAAATCACAGAGGCTGAGTAGTGTTTCTTCAAGAGTATAGGAACCATTCAATAGTTGGCGCAAGTTCGTCAAGATTATGAGGGCAAATGTGTGGGTTGGAGAGCGAGGACGAGCATGAGGAAGGACAACAAAGCTACCCAACCAACTTGAAGGATTCAAACCGACGACGGGCATAACAGCAGACAAACTATCAAAGTCAGGCAAACAGGAAAACGAACTTAGCCTAAGACAAATATGAAGTTCAAAAACTCCGTCGATTCCTTATACCTTCTTTTAATCTTCTGCCGTCAGTCTATGCCCCCTTGTCAAGAAAGGAGGCCTTATAACTGGTGGCCTTGGCCCCTGAATGATCTAGGGGAAGAACTTCTGTTGGAGGCGAGCTATCCTTTGCTTCCAACTGCAGAGACCACATGGCATGGGAGAAACTTGCCTGTTGAAAAATGGTTGTTGGCCGTCGGGTTGGGTTGGATCCTGATCGATGCCTCAATGGACGAAGTTGCTAGAATTGTTGGAGATCAGGAAATGTCGTGGCTTCCTCGAGTGAGGACCAGATGCCAACCTCAAAATTTCCCTTCACTTGCCGTACTTTTGGCCTTCTCCTTTAAAAAGCATTTCCCACTCCAGGTGTTTGTGATGTTTCTCGCAGAAGAGAGATGTAGTCGTCGACCCCATCCTACCCCACCCCGAGCGCGGAGTTCGGCGTTACTGTAAAGCTTCATTATGCATGACCGCCCGAAAGCCGTCTTACAGTCGGTCTCGACAGTCAGGGAAAGAGTTCTGGTCTATAAGAACAATCCGTGACGCGCCTTATGATATATATATCCTTCCCCATCCCCACACTCTTTCAGTTCTAAACCTCTACTTCCACTTTCCTACTATAGTATAATCCCAAAGCAAATCACTCAATCATCATGGACAAGCTCAGCACCGCCGAAAACGAATCACGCATGCAGCGAGGAGAGCTCTATTACGCCTTTACGCCCTCTTTAGTAGCTACACGGAAGAAGCAGCAGCACGCATGTCGTAAATACATCGAAGCCTACAACAACGAGTCCTCTTCAAGACGATTGCTTGTGGAGCTTTGGAAAAAGTAAGACATATCCTACCCCTTTTCACCTTGAATGGTTTATTTATTTATTTAATTAATTAATTTATGTATTCAAACTGCTCGCAGTGTAACAAACGACGACACTCCCCTTCCAGCTCCCGGAGCAAGTGCGGAGGAAGATGATGTTATATTGAAAGATGAACCATGGGTAGACGCGCCGATTAAAATAGACTACGGGTTCAACGTAATGTAAGTTTGATTCATTCCTTTATCCACACGCTCGACCCATTCCTCAAGCTACAAAGTGTTTATTGATTGATTAATTGATTGATTAATGTGCCACGTTATGCATAATAGACTCGGCAAGGGCGCGTACATCAACTCAAACTGCACATTCATCGACACCCTCCCCATCACCATAGGAGCCCGAACTCTCGTCGGAGTGCGTTAACCCCTTCCCCTTCCCCCTTGATCCCGTTCCATCTCATCTATCCATCCCTTTGCCAGCCATCCACGAACATAAAATGCAGAACAACAGTAATCATAGCAATGCAATCAATCAACATACGTCCTAACTAAGTAATCAATCACTCACTCACTAACAACCCCACCCCCCAAACAGCCAAACTGCTCCTTCTTCTCCGGCTCCCACCCCCTCGACCCCACGCTTCGCAACGGTCTCTCCGGCCCCGAATCCGGGGCCGCCATCAGCATCGGCGAGGACTGCTGGCTTGGCGGGAACGCGATTGTGTTGCCGGGCGTAACTATTGGGCGCGGTGTGACGGTTGGCGCCGGGAGCGTGGTTACGAAAGATGTGCCTGAATTCCGTAAGCTACCTACCTACCTAACTACTCCAAGTTACTCTGAGTACTCTATCTACACGAGATCTGTGTGAGATGCAAGCAAAGGATGCGGATGTAATATGTGGATGTAACAGAGGCGAGGAATGCTACTGACTACCTTGCGATAGATGTCGTGGTTGGGAATCCTGCGCGTGTTATTAGGAAGATTGAGGTTAAAGAGGTGGATCTGAACTTGGGGAAAGCTGGTGATAGCTAAATCTGTTGTGGCGGTTGAAGGATGCTGAGGATAGACTTTCTAGAGGACATTTTCTAGTTGAGCTGGATAGACAATGAGAAAGGATCTAAGACGGGCGGTGCATGGTCAACAATGGAAGCTCTAATCCAAAGAACGAAACTAGAACTAGAATAGAACATCTGGAAAATGCACATTCCGAGATAAGACACAAGCGTATCACAAACACATAATTATACAAAATTAGGAGTTGATTTTGCCTATGGCCTTCAAACAATGCAAGACCGACCATCCCACCCAAGTTTTTCCTGCACCTCCTTGAACAAGTGAAAAATGAGATAATGGCACATGATGCAAGTAAACGTTTCGTTATGCTCCCAATTCATGGAGCACCCCCAACACCCTTGCTACTTTTCCACATTTGCGCCTTTAGTTAGGCACAAGTTCGACATTCGGTTTGAAATCCGTTTAATCTGTAACTCTCCAGGAATCAAACCACTTCAAGTAGCTGTATTGCCTATTTGGACCCTCCATACCCCAAGAAATCGGCATAAACACAACGTACAGTCCTATAGTCGCGGCATACAAAACACCATAAATGGAGTATTGCACGGCCTGGCCCTTGTGCCTCAACATCCAGTCGGCGACAAAGCCAAATGTCAGGATGGCGAAGTAGAGAGCTGGGTAGTAGTGATGGACATAGGTAACACGAGCCATGGCGACGAATGGCATGTAGTGAAGGAACCATCCAAGTACGGGATAGAGAGCGGCGTAGTGAATTTGATCAATATCAGCTTGCTTGAGCTCGTCGTAGCCTCGTTGCCAGCGGATCAAGTACCATGCTACTATGAGAGCGAGAACACCGAGGGAAGCAGTGGAACCCCAGTAGACGAGGGGATTTCCGAGGAGGAAGTACTTGACAATTGAGTCGTCCCAGCCGCACATACGGAGACCGACATTTAGAATAGGCCATTGCCAGAATTGGGAGGCGAGATCATCTTGCTTGTCGGGATCGGGGACAAGAGCGTTGTTCGAGGTCATCATGGCTACATTCAAATGAATGAAGTCTTGCAAAAATGGAGACTTGTATGCTCCAGCATCAGCGGCAGGTACTAGGCAGTGTTAGCATACTAAGAAGCCGGAGAAGATAGCAATAGCTTACGTTTGTCATTCCAGTGAGCCTCGACGTTCCAGTGGGTGTATACGTCGTTTGCCTTAGCGTCTTTCGCACATGTGACTTCGATTTGCTTGAAACCCCATTGTGGCAAGTTGACGTTGCCAGCACGAAGATAACAGCCAAGAGCAGTGTGCTTCAGTCTGAAAGCAGTGGTGAGAGTCCTGATCTTGCTTCGATCATTCGAAGCCACGTCCTTGACAACTTCCATCGTCCAGTGATCTTTCTCATCTCCCACAGTGGTGTTTCCATAACAGGAAACTTCCTTGTCTGCCTTGGTGACTGGAGCAGAAACATCATGGGAATGTAGGTTACGTCCGGTTTGGGAGTGGATCATACGTAGAACATCACCGTCCGCGACATATTTTAGTGGTGCCTCAGGATCGTACTCTGGTTGATCGCGGTTTGGGTAGAACCACCACTCATTGTTGGCATCTTTGTGGTGATAACATGTGATTTGTTGTTGAGTAGATCCCTCGGGGTAAGTTTGGACGTGGGAGTGGAGAAGACCGCCACCGTATCCCATGTTCTTGAGAGTAGCGCGAGAGCCGTAGGCGATTTCAAGGGGACTATCCTTTCCAACTTCGGTACCTTTGAGGTTTGCTTGGAAGAGCGAGCTCATTTGGGCATCTCCTGGACCACTGTTTTCCAAGATTGCAAAGTGAGCGGCGAAAGATAGCATGTAGACAAGCAAGGGGATAATAATCAAACCAATGACTCTGGCGCCCAGATGGGTTGCAAGGTCAATCTGAATGAGGGTCAATATGTAGCTCGTAGGCCTGGGTCAAAGAAGACGTACCTTGGGCATCTTAGTGTCGCCAAATTTGTTCCAAAGGTCCTCGATGGTGTATAATCCGACAAGTGCTGTGACGAAGAATCCGACCCATTTTACGCTGGTAACACATCCAATGCTAATACCAGTCAAGGCGAGCCAAGTGAACCATTCAATACTAAAGCTCTTGTGTTGAAGTCTGTGGAATCTCGCCCAGCACAGTACAGTTGTGAAGGTAAAGCATAGAAGCATAGAGTCCAAGAGGATAAATCGACTGATGGTGGTGTACGAATTCTCGCAGAGGACCATCAGGGTGACGAACCACACAGCTGGTCTCTTGAAGTTCAGCTCGCGGGCAGTGAAATAGGCCAGAGGAATGCACACAGCGCCAAAAAAAGCGTTGAATGCACGCATGAAGGTATAGTTGAGCTCATCCGGGTATCTCTCCCCCGACTTGAATTCGAAAGAGCCATTGTAGCCAGCCAAGTATCCTGATAGACCAACAAGCATCTTTCCAAGAGGAGGGTGTACATCGAAATAGAACTCGCGCTTGAGGTAGTGGGACCCAAATTTTCCGAAACTGTCAAGGGTTGATTAGCGGTTGCTTCGACGATTTTCTATTGAGGGGGGATTTCGTACTGAGCTTCATCCCACGTCACGATGGGGGACAAGCCAATCTTGTACAATCGCGTGAAGAAAGCAAGTGCTGTAAAGATAATGGGCGCGATAATAAACTCCCATTCGTCGAGGAATTGAAGTAATGACTGCTCATTCTGGTTGAGATGGAAAGATTAGCAACCTTGCGTAGATGCATGTGTCTGGGGGAAACACCAGGACGGCAGCAAATGCAGCAACTGACCTTCTTCACCCGTGTCTTCTTGTCGTCTACCTCCACCTTATCCACGAGTCCGCTGTTTGGTGAAGTCGAGGGCACATTACGTCGCCGCGTGGCCTGATCGAAATCCGCTCCAGACGCAACTGCTATCTTCTCTGAAGCCATCTTGATCTCGGGACACTTTCCAAAGTCTGCCGACTAAGGTGGAACAAATGTGCTCCAAAAGGACACTTTCACTCGTCTGTAGTAAGCCGTGCTAGAAGTGCAGGCAAATGCTGCGATTTGGACTGGATGTTCTCTGCAAACGAGGGTGAAGAAGTGAAGAAGTTGTAGAATTAAAAAAAAATCTTAAATTCCAGAGTTGACCATCTCCGCAGATGATTGTACAACTTCTAAGGGAGGAGGGCAGAGCAGAGGCAAGATGAAGTGCTGCAAAATATCGCGAGAGCTGGAAAGGAGTCGTCTAGAATCCCTGCCCTTGCATTAGGCCTACCTTGCATCAGCCCAGTCGTATTTTTGGATGTGAATATGGCCACGCTAGATATTACTGTGTGCCGCCGCCGCGTGTGGGTGTAAGCTAACTTGAGCTACATCAAAAACACGTCCGAATTACAAGTGCAACTCATCTATATGATGGGAAATGTTTCGTCAAAATTGGATAAATGAAAGGAATGCAATTCTGCCAACTTTAAAAACCACTCGTTCAAATCAATCCTGGAAGGAAGTATATAGTATCTCAGGCGTTTCTCTAAAGCTAAGTTGCTATCTATATAGACACCAAGGTGCGTCAGTAGCCAAATCTCAAGGACAGATTTTACCTCAGATTTACCTACCTGCACCTGCACTGAAAACCGAACCAACGGCGCGACTGAGAAAACATAATTTAAAAGGGGTCGTCGTTTCGAGTGGTCTACTCTGAGCAGAGCCACAGTTGTTGCATGACGTGGGGTCTCATGCGAGGCTAAATAAAGAGTGTATATATAGTCTTATAAATAGCTCTTTTGGGGATCTTCTTCTGGGGTCCGTAGTAAGGACTGATATCAATCACGCGAGGTCAGCCGAAATTATACATTCTGCTCAAATGTTCCTATGGTTATATAAATGTAAAAAAGCCTGCGAGGACTTATCAGTCAGTTGTACATATGCACAATCTAGGTACTCCGCTCGAACGTGGTATGGTTTTACATCGCAACCATGTGAGCCTTCCTTTACGCCCGCTTTCTAATAGCCAAATGCCTGATTCTAATAATAACGCCTTCCACTCATTCCTCTTCCTCTTGGTCTACAGCCTTGTACTGGCTACTTTTAACGCTGTCTCCATCTCCTTTGCCTCTCTTGACCATCCGACCTATCCACCCACCAACACCTTCGCTTGTGGATTCGTTGTCCTCGCCATATTGCGGTTTCCCGTTCACAATGGACACGTGAGGAGGATCAATGTCGAGTCCAGGTATCGCGCTTGAAGCGCCGAAATCATTGATAGGGTCCCCATAAACACCCCTTCGGAGGTCCATAGAAGGTACTGGAGAACTCACTCCCATCAATGAACCATTTTCAGCCCTTGTGATGGGAGTAGGCATCGCGGTCGTAGCATCACCGAAGAGGGCATCCATATCCTCTAATCTTACACCAGCGGTCTCAGGATAAACGAAATATACTAAAACAATTTAGTTTTCAGAAGTAACAAAAGCACATGAGCGGAATCTTACCAACAACGAAACTCGTAGCACAGAAAAAAGCGTGCACGAGGTAAAGACGCCATGTGATCCACTCTTGCAAGACAGGAGTCATTTCTCCAACAAGCCAATTGCATGCCCAATTAGTGGCTGTAGACAAACTTGAGCCTTTGGATCGGATGCTGAGAGGTAGGATCTCCGGGGGATAAAGCCATGGAATCGGACCCCAACTATATCCAAATGCCGCGTTGTAGATCATAACAAATATGACCACAAGAGTTGGAGTAGTAGAGGGTATGTCCAGGAAGAGGAAATAGGAGATAGCCGATAACGACAAGACCATTGCAACTGCACCGCTTAGAAGGACGAATCTGCGGCCCCACCGATCGACGAGATACCAAGGTGGTACAGTAGACAGGAAGTACGTAATTCCGTTAATCCCAGTCATCAAAATCGCTTGCCGGCCAACCCAACCAGCAGATTCAAACACATATGGCGCATAGTACGATATGACGTTGATGCCATTCAACTGTGCAAAGGCCTGGGCAGACATGGCGATGAAGACACGAGTACGATATCGTCGGAACATTTCTCTATAAGTTTTTTCGCCCTCTTGTCGTGAGAGAAGTACATCCATTTTGATTTCGCGGTATTCCTCTCGCGCCTTGGGGTTATGGATATCTCCACCTCCATAAAGGTTTGCAATTACGACAATACCTTCCTCGTCATGGTCATTGTCCAAAAGCCATCTGGGCATATGAGTTGAAGGTCAATAACTCTAAGGACACGGAGCAGCTTACCTTGGAGACTCTACTATGACCAAACTTCCTATCGCCAGAAGTGCGCCCATAACACATTGCATAAACAAGGGGACCCTCCAGGAATAGTTATTGTTGATGAAGCTGCAGAAGTAGTCTACCCAAACTGAAGTCGCATATCCGGTAATATTTCCCGAGAATTCGATACAGGCCAACTTGCCGCGGTTGTGTGGAGGAGAGATTTCGGACTGGTATACGGGAACAATCGTAGATAACATGCCAACGCCAACACCGGCGATGATACGCCCTGACAGCATCATCGGCATTCCATTTGCACAAGTCTGTAGAGCCCCTCCAACGAAGAATATACACGCGCCATAAAATATGGTCCTCCGTCGTCCAATGATATCTCCGACGCTGCCGACGACGAGAGATGCAAAAAATGCCCCAACTTCGAGAATGGCAACCATAGTACCGACTTCGGCTCGCGAGGGCTGATTGAACTGATCTTTGAAATACGGACCACTTGAGGATATATTAGCTTATCTCACTGTAGAAGATGTCCTACTTACGTGATGATTCCAGACATCACACCTTGATCATATCCAAAGAGAAAGACGCCCAGAGAGACAAAGATACTGGTGAAATACCTGGACGCATTGTTAGTAATTGGTAGATCGTGTTTGGTGTTTTGTCCCTACACCAGGGGCTTGCCTGTCAGGCCATGCATTTGCCGTTCTCCCCCAGACATGATAGCGGCGAGAGTATGCTCGGCTTTGGTAATTGAACGTGGAGCAGGTTCGGGGATCTCGATGTCCTCTTTAACGAGTCCAGATTGATGTCCTTTCTCCTCCGGATCTTCCAGATCTTCTTGATAACGGACCCGTTTCTGCCGAGTCGGCCGCCTTGAAGGACCGCCAGACACTTGTTCGTCGAGTGATGCACGCAGCTTTATCTGCAGAGGATCTTCGGCGTCTGCTAATTGTTCGGCTAGGTCCCCAGTGTCACTCCAAGAAAAATCCGAGTCCGGGGAGGAACTGCGCGAGAGGGAAGAGCGACGGCCCTGCTTTTCGTCCGAGTGCGCTCCCAGTAATGAGGCGGAATGCTCGTCAGAACGGGATGATAGGTTTCGCAATGGTATGTTAGCAGGGCGACGGGAGGATGTTGGGGAAGGAATGGTGAAGGTTAGAGCTGGAAGCAGCAGCTCACTGCCGTTGATGCGGAGGTGGTGGAATGTGGAGGTAAGGTAGTTTGCGGAGTAAAGTAAGGATGGATGGTTAGGCGGTGTCCCAATGATGCAACTCGGGTGTCCTGACCTGACCTGACTATCCTATCTACCTAGGTAAACCGTATCGTGAATGTTCCTTTAGAGCCTTAGGGCCTTCTTGTGAGGTGTCAGGGTGCGCCAAAAAGTGGGCCGGACATTCGTGGTCATCGGCGACTCGAGTTGGTGAAGGATCGCGTGCGCGTGATGGGATGGAGCGGACGATAGTTATCGAAGCTTTTGATACGATGTATGGGCTGTAGGAAGCGGTTGATATGTCTGTCGATGTGGCTTTGGAGGGCACCAGGTTAGATCATCCTTTCCCCATAGAGTTTGCTGGGTAGGGTGTTACCAGCCGGAGGTACCTACCATTACATTACCTTACCCTGCCCTGCCGTATAATGACACCTAAGGAACCAACTACAGTACAAACGAACCCCTTTTCTTCCCAGTGGAAAGGACTTAGTGATGATAAGCGGACGGACCCAACGGAAAGGGGGTTCTTTGAAGAAGATAAGAGAAGTGTAGCGTGCACAGCTCTAATTCTTCTGCATTCAGCCATCTATCCTATCTATAAATTGAATGGGCCCTGTTTGAGCGGGCCAAGTGACTCTAGATCTTTTACGTTGTACCCTTCCAATCTATCTATAAAGACTTCGAGGCGTCGGCTTGGTTTGGATATTTCCCCCTTGTACCTGCAAGCAAGTGTTTGGGTAGGCAGAGTCGGGAAACAGATTCAAGCTGTGTCAAGGTCATAGGTAACCCTTTTCTCAATCCCCAAGATCCTCTGTTAGTTGGAACCTCGTTTCTCCATTTTGAGGCTGTGCTGTGTAGCATGACACAGTCATCGATCGTGCTATAGAAATATGGAAGCATGGAAGAGAGACACGAGATATCCTTCCTACAAAAGTCTGGTGGTACTGGCAGCATCACTACCTTGGAGAATGTCTTAGATTTTATAAACCACTTGAACTGGTGAGATGGTGACTAGGCACCACCACGCACGCGACATGCTTGCTTTATATTAAATCCCAAGAAACAGACTGCAGGATTCCAAGTCATGCTTGTGAGCCTCATCGTCGGTGACAGCTATTTATAGCCCTTGATCATATGGTAGGATGTTGAAATTATATCTGGGTGAGATATCCTACGCTTACTTTGACATCTAGTAGCACATACACGAATATTGACACGCATACAGTACCAGTCCAACCTCAGCGTCGGTTTGTTTACCTTATTCGAAGCTTTACAGGTCTTGTCATGCTTCTAATGTATGACCTACCAACCTCGGTCTCAAACTCTGGCTACTTCGGCATTTAAAACTCGCCATACCTCCGCATGCGTAACCAATCATCTGCGGTTAAAATCCAAAAAGGCTGGTACCGGAGCTGATTGTAAGGAGATACAGCTACTGTCCCTCTGTATTCCATGGTAGAGTTCTTGAGGAACACCGTTAGATGGATAAGTACGGTATCGTTCCTCGAGAGCGGGGAAACGGAGGGGATGATATATGAACACAGCCTCGTTTCGCCAGAGGTGCACACTTCGTACCGGTAGGTACTGGGTACAAAACCACTCCAGTCCAGTACAAATCTCCCGTGCCCAAAGTCCCCTTGCCAATACGCACGAGGTTCAAGGAGGCTCCAAGATCTATACCTAGGTATGCATTGGATGCATACAGTAACGCAATACGATGTGCGTCGCGTTATTCTGAAACAAGCCGCCAGCGAAAGAAGCAAGAACAGATAAGGTGTATGGTGGGGATAAGTGCATGCATCAAAATACGTTTACATACGGTACAGTACGGTAAAAGAAAGAATACGGAGTAATGAACAAATCATAATGCAATATACTTCGTAATGTTGGAAAAAGCAATTAGCCTCGGGGTGCTGCATGAAGCTCATTTGTTCTAGATGCCCGAGTGGTTTGGCCCCGTCACGCTGCTGCAATCTTATTGGTAAGACTTGGCCTGCTACCAAATTAGGTACGGGAAGAATTCATGAGTGAGGTGAGGTGAGGTGAGGTGAGGGTGAGGGTGAGGTAAAATTAACCAAGGGAGGTCCTTCCCAATCTGTAAAGTCCAGTCCAGCATATCTTCTTGCTTGCACTCACCATAACGCCGTCTGTCAGAAATCAACACAATAATCATAATAACATCGTACATCAAGATCACTCCCGTTGCCCATAATAATAAAGATCACTCTACTGTACGATAAGGCCACAGCCACACTCATTTCCGCAGCCACCCAGCCACCCAGCCACCCAGCCAACCAGCGTGGCAATTCCACTGCACCAGGGGCTCTAGCTTTGCATGAATTTCGCTGGGTCCATCCAACCGCCAGCCAGGCCAGGAACTTCAACAAACAAGATCAGACAAAACCGGAATTCAAGTCGAGTCCAGTCCAGTCAACCACCCCGCAAACGTGCCGGCGAGCAAAAGCACCTTCGATCCACCAATTCACTACTCACCCACATCTACAACAATACCCATTTTGCGACAATTGAACCCTCTACGAAGCTGAGCTGTAGGAGCTTAAATCGCGTACTGTTTCCAGCCACCTAGTAAGCGCTCGCAACCAGCGCTGTAGCAACGATGGGTTCCACGCAATTTGGAAACTTCCATGTGAGTCGGATGCGATGCGCCTGAAGACCCGGTGTGATGCAGAGTCTTCTTTGGCAGGCTTTGGTGGTCTTTGGCTGACAATTTGGATCAGGATTTCTGTCGCGACTCGACACTGCCAGTCTGCAACGTAAGCCCTCAACTAGCCATCCCTCGCAAAGTCCCGGAACAATTATGCTGATTGAACTTTCCAAACAGCTTTTCCCAGGCTTCAGTTACTCGAATACGACGGGATTTGATGGTGGTTGCCACGTCACCGGCATATCTCTTTCCAATGGACGGCATCTGGGGAATTTGGGTTCGATACTGCTTGCCGGCGTAGCAATCTTGGTATCTGCGTACCTACTATGGCGGTCAGAACGAAAACAAGCGGCTGTAGGTCGAAGGTACGTTTGCGATTGTTCCTTCCGTGGTGCGTCTTGCTAATAATTCTTGAAGAGAGATGCAGATTTTCCTCCTGGGCTACATAGTAATGGAGATATGCGAAATCTTCACGGTCGGCAAATTCCCTCTGAACAATACAGTTAGGATAGTATGTTTGCTAAGTAGGGGTAATAGGCTGGTAAGCTGACGAAGTGAATAGGCCTTTACAGGAATCCATCTCGGCATGATCGTTGCTACCCTCTGGGCACTTCTACTGAATGCTATTGTGGGCTTCCAATTGCTTGACGATGGAACGCCTCTTTCCGTAGGACTCATGGTTGCCTCTGCAGCAGCACTCTTCATCGGAACAGGCTACATTGCCCTCGACACGGGCTACAATTGGACCGGCTTTTTCGCAAAGAACAGTTACGGACCTTTGAACAGGAACACCGGTCTCTATGTTCTCTATCAGCTTGTACCACTCGTCTTCCTATTCGCCTTCTTCGTCCTCGAGACAGCGTTGGTCATTAGAGTTTTAGGAGAACGCAAGCCAATGATTTATTTGGCAGCAGCTGCGTTGCTCTTTGCTATTGGCCAGATCTTCAACTATGTCGTTAGCATTCACATCTGCAGCGGGACTCATGGAAAGATCGACGGGGCTCTGTTTGAGACACTCTTTACGCTCCTATCGGTTGTGATGGTCTGGACTTTCTGGTCAAGCATTACCGAAGATGATTGGCCAATGCCGGCTGGGAACACTTATACATGACCCAAATAACGACATAGCAGCATAGGGATCTGGAGTTTTGGAGGCAAATCTTTTAGGAGCGACGAATTCACTTTATAGACGTTACATCAAGAAGCGAGGCATTTTACTACGTCAGCAATTCGAATGCGTTGGAAGACATGCAACATTTAATAGGGCAGCACCCGGAGGAGTTAATTTTAGGGAGTAGGAGGGAGTTACCCATCGAGGAAAGCTTTGTATCTTGCTCTCGCGCTTGCTTAGACGGTCCATATTTGAGCCTTGACTTGTATATGATTTTGCGCATTAAGTAGTATACCCAGTATAGCGCGTAATGGAATGAGACTGATGAATAAATATATTACTGGAGTTCCCTGACGTACCTTTCATCAGCAGTGATTCAATTTAGATATTCATTAGTAGAATAACGGAAAGGCTGCACGAAGAGAGAGGCGAGGCTACGGCTGACTCTTGGGTAATCGAGACGTTGTAGTGAAAACTGGACCTTGTAAAACCTGACCTAGCTGATTGACATTTCCCTTCTGCCATATTCTTACAACTTTATAGCTTTGTATGCTTCGATTGCTTTGCATACCTAAAGAAGCTGCTTAGACGCTTCTTCCCCTTTCTTAGCGAGCAGCGCCGTTCTACGCTACATACAACTCGGGCGAGCTTCAGCCTTGCGCAGGTAGCCCTACGCAAACTTCCACAACATCACAGCGCACAAGCAAGTGCTGCCCCGGCACAAAATCCACCATGTCAGACTCGGACGGCGAGTACGTCGCAAACGATCTGTCTGATGACGATGTTGGAGCCCACCAAGTCTCTACAGGACATGGCACGCGATCGACAGGTCCTGTCCGAGGCGCCGCTGGTTCAACCACACGGGGCGGCGATACCAATTCAGGAACCAGCCGAAAGAGAGCTGCGTGGGAGGATATCCAGAGGAGTTGGGATACCGTCGTTGAGGGTGCGGATGGGAGTATTAACTCTACGGTTGAGGGATTGAGGGAGGCAGGAAAGAGAAAAAGGTATGTACGTCCTTCACGCTCTATATCTACCAGCCTACTGACCAATATACCGCAGACTACTACGAGATACAACCCCGTTACAAAGAGGGATAATCCGCCATCTCATCCTAATCCTTGACCTCTCTTTCGCCATGGTGGAAAAAGACCTCCGCCCCACGCGCTACCTCCTGACAATCCGCTACGCCTCCGAATTCGTCACCGAGTACTTTGAGCAAAACCCCATTTCCCAGCTCGGCATAATAGGCATGCGTGATGGTATCGCAATACGCATCAGCGACATGAGCGGGAATCCCACCGAACATATCGAGCGCCTGAAAACGCTGCGAGAGCAGCAAGCACAGGGGAATCCGAGTCTACAAAACGCCCTAGAAATGAGCCGCGCTGCGCTGTTTCACGCCCCTTCTCACGGCACTAGAGAGATACTTATTATTTACGGAGCGTTGCTTTCCAGTGACCCGGGAGATATACATGAGACGATCGCAGCGCTGATCACGGACAGGATTAGAGTCTCGATCGTGGGGTTGGCGGCACAGGTAGCTATTTGCGCTGAGCTATGCTCACGTACCAATGCGGGCGATGATGGTAATTACAGCGTCGCGCTCAACGAGCAGCATTTTAGGGAGCTGGTTATGGCTATTACGACGCCTCCCGTTACACGCACGAAAAAGCAATCGCAGTCCAGTCTCCTCATGATGGGTTTCCCGTCGCGGACTCTCGGTGTTGGGAAGACGATGAGCTTTTGCGCCTGTCATAGCAAGTTAAGCCGCGGCGGATATCTGTGTTCAAGATGCGATAGTAAAGTCTGCAATCTCCCCGCTGAGTGTCCAGCCTGCGGCCTCACGCTCATCCTATCCACGCATCTCGCGCGCTCGTATCACCATCTTTTCCCCCTGCGGAACTGGATTGAAGTCCCCTGGTCTTCAGCCTCGATATCCAAAGCGTGTTACTCGTGCCTGGCACTGTTTCCAGAAGTACCAGAGGGGGGGTCGCAGGCTGAAGGAGGCGGAGAGGTCAAGGGCACGAGTGAGAGCGGGCGGTATGGGTGTGAGGTCTGCGGCAATCATTTCTGTATCGATTGTGATGTTTTCGCGCATGATGTGGCGCATAATTGTCCGGGGTGTCAGAGTGATACGAGGGGAATGATTGAACTGGATGATCCAATGGTTGAATGATTTGAGCATATCGATGGAGTTCTGGATATTCAAAAGGGGTCGGTGCATACATCGGCGTAAAGACTTGATTGGATCTCGTCTGCAGAGTAGGGGCGTTTTTCAGATACCATAGAAGGCACAATTTAAGCCTGCTGAATCTCAAAATCAATATGTTTTCGCACTCATCAAGAATCGTCGAATTTTTTTTTGGCAGCTGAGCCCTGGCTCTTGCATTTTGCTGTCAGATCTATTACTCCATTATCAAAGCAGTTGGCTAATATGGTGCTGGCAGGACTTCACCTAAAAGCACTTGCATTTTACGAACTCAGTACAAATTATACGAAGGTTGACTCCTCACACACAACCATGCAATCCCAAAACAGGATATCTATCAATGTTCATATCTATACGATTCTCAAAGAGATAGCACGCTATGCATCCCAAAGCCCGCCTTCAAACCGCTCAAAATCCAAGCGCCAATTACACCACTCCACAAATTCTCACGAACCATTCGGCCGTGTCTCACCAAATAAGTACCCCGCCTCAAGACAATATGCTGCTCCACCAGCCATCCCCTTCTCACTGCCCCAACAAACCACACTTGCATCCACGATGCCGCTCAGCACACCTTCCATTGCCCCTAGTACTCCCCAGCCGATAAAACTCGCCACTAGACCGACAACGTATGCGTAGGCACTGCCTCTGATGCCGGTTCCTTCTGGCATGGTGATTGCGAGTTGTCGGGCAGTTGCTACCCATCCGCCAAACCCGAGGGCCATGGACATGATGAAGCGTGTTGCATGCAGCAGGAGTTTTGCAAGTCTGTAGGGTAGAAGAGGGGCGGTCTTATGGGTGCGAGAATTGAACGAGCGCGGAGTAAGCGTAGTCGTTGGCGCGTTCGGAGTTAGGAAAGTCATCTGACTTAAACCTCTAGCTGAAGGATGTAGAGGTTGGGAGTGGATAGCTGCGTATGTGAGAGTGAGAGGGTTGGTGAGTGCTGCGATGGGCGTTGGCACGAAAGAGTAGGCGAGGATCGAGATCAATCCCACTAGTCGACGGGGGAGGACGAGCAGAGGCAGGCGGATTATCAGAGCCAAAAATGTTGATAGCGAGATGGTTCCGAAGAGCGTAGTTGTCGAGTGTGTCAAAGCTGCTCCAACAACGTCTCTGGAGGTAGGAGATGGCACCACATTGCGGTGAAAGTACCACTGAGATACAGTAGCTGCCGTGGTCGCTCTTTGGATCCCACTAATGACTGACAGTGTCCAAATGTACATAAGCACAAAGTAGACTGCCAGCCACCAACTTGTCGCATCAATGATGAACTTGGTGAGTGATGTTGACTTGTGCCCACCGAGAAAGACTCTTGTAAACATCCCCAGCCACATCCAAGTCCACGCAACGACTGCTCCCAAAGTTGCAAATCCTAGTCCAAAGAGAGCTGGGTTTGCAGCCAAAATTTTGGACGCGAATTCTAATATCCCCACAGCTTTGTCCAACGACTTGCGCCCTTTGTAGATGGTGTACAACCATATTAAGGCACATATACCCGGCACAAATGATAGCCATCGCATTGCCTTGTCCTGTAAGCTTGTCCCTCCGGCTGAACCTTTGTAGCTGGAAATCAGAGGGTAAAGAGAAAACGAGAACAAGATCACAGGAACTGCAAGCAGTATCAGGTACACCAGTGACCTTACAAACGACCGCAGCAATGCCAGCCAGACGAGTGACACTATTATCGACACTACAGTATCTACTGCGAATAGATGGAGAGATGAGTTCAAGGTGGTGTAAATGGTATCCCCGAGATTCTTCTGAGGCGATGTGTGAAGGAAAACGAGGACAAAAGTTGCGAATAAAGCGCCGAGACATATCAAATATAACGAACCCCAAAACATGTCATGCCTTGGAGCTTCACCAAGGGTTGTTGCTATCGTAGCTGGCACGGTATCAACCGAGCTTGGAGGTCTCGGTATTCCGGCTCCCCTGTCGAGACCAGATTCTATATCTTTGTCTCCACGTTTATCATTTGGTAATCTGATCGCTCCCTTTTTTGGCCCTGATCGAAATTGTTGGAACGCTGGCGGACTCTCGTCATCGGTAGGCATCTCAATAGCCAAATCTTCTGGGGGGTCGTTGTCTTCTATGGTGGACTCAAGACCAACATCTTCCATACGGTCCTTTCCTTTGCTGCTCGCAGAACTGGCTGGCCGAGTGTCTCCACCCTCTACTTCCTCTCCAACTGTTTCGGGGGCCACACCTCGCCCTCTTGTACTTCGCACTCCTCCATTCCAACTGCTCTTAATACCACGTCCCCTCCCCCGATCCTCGAACGCTCTTCCATCATGGTCACCACTGTCACCTATTGATCCATTACTACCCTCGGGATCGGTTCCCTCGCTCTCCTCAAGCCTGGCCGGAGCAAATACCCTTCTTGACCTCTGGAGGGCAAAAAAATCCGCGGTCTCTCGTTCTCTTTCCTCTTCATCGTCTTCTTCCCGGAACTCATCCATTGCACTATGGAACAAAGGCGCGTTTTGCGGGGCTGCGTATCTAGAGGTGAAGTTGAAGTTCGAAAGATGGGATGCCGACTGGTATGGATTCCCCAAACGCTGGGGATATCCTCGAGAAGGATTTCGTAAGGGTTCATTTGAACGACGATGTCGTTCGTTCGAGTTCCGTGGTGGAGGAGCTTCTGCGTTGTCAGGCCCTACGAAGTTCGAAAACCGGGACTGTGATTGAGCGAGAAACCGTGACGCATCTTGGGTTAACAGTTAGATAAGAAAGCCAGGAACAGCAGAGACTCGACTTACATTCCGAGAACATGGTCGCCCCCGAAGTCTTTGTTGATGTGAGGTCAGAGACCAAGGCGTGGTGAGCTCACCAGCTTGATAACGATGCCTAGTTGTAGTCGGTGAGTGAGGTGAGCTTCTGCCAGTGCCTGCTTTGTCCAGTCCAGACTCGAAAGTCAGAAAGAATACGAGTACTTTAGAGTGTTTGATTAGAGTATTTGACTGTATAATCGGGTCTGGAGGTTAAAATAAAAGATGTTTGAGTCGATGTTTAGATTCAGATAACGGCTGTCATGGGAAGGTATCAGTTGCCGTGTGAGCTGGACTGGCTGTATGGTGTACCGGTATGGTTCCGGGGTCGCTTTGGCGGGTTAGTCACATGGAAGGCTGGAGCTTTGAATCAACACACGAGTCACCACCATACAGTAATGAGATAGTGGATAGTCCTGCAAAATGAACAGACATATGAGAAGTTACTTGGATTTTGAACATGTATTATATATGAGAAATTTAACGGACAGATATTAAAATGTGTTAAATCAGCATTGTTTTGAAAGCATCGCATCCTCCGCAACGTCAAAGAAAGCCGTGCACGAGCGCCCCCACCTACAGTACTTAACGCCACATACTAGACCGACAGAACAAAAGCTTATTGAGTTGGGAGCACGAGGCAGCTTCGACATCACGACAATACTCCCCACCTTATACAGCTCCTCTTCTCTATCGCCCTTCACTCAGCTGGTATTAATCAATCACCAAGGTCGTGTGCTCTACGCAGCAAACCACATCTGCGGCTCTAATGTCGTCTTGGGACTTTATCGTATGCACTTCCTCTGAGCTTTTGGTTCCCAGCTCTCCTATATCCACTTTGATTCAGCATAGCTAACCACTGACAAACCTGCAGGCAAAACTAGTTGCTATTGGGGACAGCGCAACTGGGAAATCTTCGTTGACTATCCGCCTTTGCGAAGGAAGATTTAGTCCTCATCACGATGTCACGATAGGAGTGGAGTTTGGAAGTCGGATCGTGCCAGTTGGGCCTCCAAATACTCAACCACCAAAATCAAAGCCAGGGGTTTCAAGAGACCCATCGTTAGTAAATATTTCCGAAGGACTGCCAGAGCCTCGACGTGCAGAACCACAAGTGGAACAGAGGCATATGAAACTGAGTTTATGGGATACCGCCGGACAGGAGACATACAAGAGTGTGACACGGAGTTACTTTCGTGGCGCTTCTGGAGCACTGCTAGTATTCGATATTTCAAGGAGGCAAACATTCAACCATGTGCAAGACTGGCTGAATGACCTGAGACAGATTGCGGAACCAGATATCGTAGTCGTTCTAGTTGGGAACAAGAGTGATCTGGCAGCAGGAGATGAGAACAAGAGAGAAGTCACAAAGGAAGAAGCGGAGGAATGGGCCAAGAAGAATGGGGTGCTGGAGTACGTTGAGACGAGCGCTAAAAGTGGTGAAGGAGTAGAGATGGCGTTCGGACGGGTGGCGGAGAGGATATATCAGAACATCGAAGCTGGCAAATACGACTTGAATGATAGGAGGTCGGGAGTCAAGGGTCCAGGTGCTATAGCAAACAGAGGCAATGTCAAACTGGGTGCTCCCGCGAAGGCTGGTTATGGCTGCTGTTAACCTCGAGGCTCTGCGGTTTGTATATCACTGGGATTGTTTGCGATTGCAGCATTGAGGGCGTTGGGAGCACATTAGATACACCATGAGCATTTGGAAAGGCGTTGCAGTGACAAATGCGAGTTACAGATTACTTTTCACTCGACTGAGAGGGGAGGGGGTTCAACGAGCAGTTTGCCTTGAGTGAAAGTATCAATGAGTAAGTTCAGTTGACATTCAAAACACGACTCTAAAATGCAAATGGCCCTCGGACATGGATTTTGAAAAGTCGAATATGACATGGACGGAACTTTTACTAGAATCGATTCAGCTAGAGCGTGTGATGCGCAAACGTTACGGAGTAGTTGAGACGTTTACCGTGACTTGCCACAGCCTGAAATTTGTGGCTGAGCCGGGTTACGTAGAGTCAGTGAGGGGCAAAGATTCCACGGCGGGGAGGCAGAGGCACTCCGATGGCTGAACCAAATACTGTAAAGTACTTACTGTACCGGACCGGTTCCTCTATAGATAGATTCAATATTATAGGAAACCGTTCATTATATTCACCATAGCTAATCCAAGCCACCGCGGCGTTGTTGCCTCTTCAGATTCGTCACGTCACTTCCGACCCTTGACTTAAATACCTCCTCTCCCTCCACCCCCCCTCCTTCCCCTCGAAGAACAGCCAAGCCCAACTTGCATACACCGCAACTTCACAACTTCATCATCTAGCAACGATGTCTGATTTTGCGCCGCCAACTGGCCCACCTCCCCCTACTGTACCAGCAGGGTACAAGGCTATTTGGAACGAACAGTACAAGGAATGGTATGTTTCTTCACCTTCGCACATCCCGTCGCGAGCCAGATTAACCCCTCATAGGTTCTACGTCAACATCTACACAAAGCAAAGTCAATGGAACAAGCCTACCGACCCCGTCTATCCTGCTGGCGATGGTGCTCCTGCAGGACCACCCCCGGGTTATGCGGGCGGCGGAATGGGCAGCATGAATGATACAAAGTCAAATCCCTATGATACCAAACCAGGTGGTCCCCACGCCGAAAGCGATGCCGAGCTCGCTGCCCGATTACAAGCCGAGGAGAATGCGAGAGGATCGAGTAGTAGGAATGCGCAACAAGACTATCAAAATACCCCGATGGGTCAATCTCCGAGCTACCAACAAGATCTACCCGCGAGGGAGCAGAAGAAGTCGGGTGGTTTCCTAGGAAAACTACTCGGAAAGGCAAGCGGAGGTTCTAGCAGTCAACATCAGGCCGGATATGGCGGATATGGTGGAAATCAATATCCTCAGCAGTATCCTCAACAACAGCAATATCCACCGCAGAACTACCCGCCTCAGGGCTACCAGCAGGGCTACCCTCCCCAGGGCGGCTATGGGTATGTAACCTCGCTTCATAGTTTACCCCAGATGGCTTGCTGTTTTAGAAGCTTACCTTACTAACTCTTTGTTCAGAGGAGGTTACTCCCCATACGGTGGTGGTGGCTATCAACAGCAAGCGCCCAAGAAGTCGGGAGGCTTGGGTATGGCCGGCGGAGGTTAGTGAGCAAAGCTGAATTGTTCGAATTACTACTAACACTTATGGTACAGCTGCACTCGGACTTGGGGGTGGTCTGGTTGGAGGAATGTTACTTGAAGATGCTATTGGAGGTGACGGCGGCGATGGAGGAGGAGATGGTGGAGGAGATGGTGGAGGTTCGTTGATTCCCTTCCCTTTAAGGCGTGAACCACACCTTACTCCCACTCTTACTTTACTGAATGTCATATATTAATTGGTTGTATAGGAGACTATGGCGGTGGAGATGGTGGTGGAGACTTCGGCGGTGGGGATGATGGTGGCGGTGGAGATTTCTGAGCAATTTACAATGACGAAGGCCAATCAGTCATGTAAATTCTATATGGTGGATAGGAAGAGGATTTGCACCTGAGTTGAACTCCGAGTGGGCACTGAGCTTTTAGACTCGATTTCGATCGCTGCTTTATGAAATGCCATCCGGCTATGTTTTCAAATTACAGCTTCTGGATAACCTTGTGACGTTTCATCTCTATTGGATACTCAATATAATGTGAAGAAAAAGCTGTACAAAGCCTCGTGAGTATTCAAGCAGCCCTTGAATTCCTTCCCATGTATGGAAAAGCGTATGACGGAGGCCGACTGGCTTCCAACAAAGAAGCTTCGAAATCCAAAACTTTCGTATCAGTATAATACCGAAGTGGTATTTAAATGAAAGCACATCACAGCAGAATGTATCGGCACAAGAATTATATTCTCTATATCCTTTCCTCCCACAATACCTAAATTACACAACACCTCCTCTATAACCCACCCCCTCACAGCCCATCCCATCACCTTGTAATCCCCTTCTCAACCGGCGCATCGCTCTTCTTCGGCCCCGACCCAGCCAACCAGGCCGCCGCATCAAAATTCTGCAGCGGATTCGCAGCTGTCCCGCTGGTAATCGACGTCGACTTCTGGCGCTCTTCAAATTCCGCACGCATTTCGGGATCCACTATTCGTAGAGAATAGTATATTAGCATTTACTTCACTGGCGCTCGTGATAGAGTATGGCTTGGTGGTAGGGAGAGGGAGCTTACTGTTGTCCATAAGATACGGCATTCCGAACACGATAATCATACTCACGCCCGCGATAAGAATCATTGGGTTCTTAAGCAGGCTTAGAGGAGAGACTATTTCCATCTCTGTTAGCAAAGCTCTCCATTCGAACGAACCTTGCTCAAGGCCAGAAAATAGATAGATGACAAGGAAAGGAGGGAAAACTCACAACCACTCCTCTCGAAAAAATACTCCTTCTCGGCCACGACCTTAACCTCCCAAGTCCACACCCCATCCACCTTCCTAACAGCATATTCCTCCCCTTTATTCGCCCACTCATTCCCCCTAAACGTGCCCCAAACCTGCACCTTGTCCCCGATATCCGAACCCGTACCAGCGCCCGAGACGTCCACTCTCAGCGGCGCAAACGCATGGCTATGGCAATGGATATCCAGGAGGTAGGATCCAGCGCTCACGTTCCGGAAATCGAAGGCGTTGTCGACGCGTAGCGGCCTGCGGTGCACGGCGGACAGCGTGCTGAGCGTTGCGGTTGTGGAGGGCGGGAGCGTGGATGGGTTGGGGGAGGAGGGGGGAGGGGGGGATGGCGATGCGGAGGTGGGCGGAGAGGGCGAGGGGGAAGAGGAGCGCGGTGATGAAGGAGAGGGGGGTGGTGGCTGAGAGGCGCATTTTGAATTGTGGTGGTGGAGGTGGAGAGCGAGAGCTTGAGGTTTTGGAGAGAGTGAGACTACAGTAGATGTGAGGTTGAGTTGAATTGGTGATGCGATGCGAGCGAGGTCGCGTAAAGTTTCCAGAGGCCCGGGACGAGCAAGCTTTGACCAGATTGCGAATGATGGGGAGTTTACTTTACTTTGACGACTTTTTCTTGGGATTCTATACTTTCATCTTATATGGGGTTTTCTAATGCCTTTTATTTAAGAGGCAGAGTATAATTACCATATTAAGTATAAGACTATTATCGATGCCGAGATACTACCAATTCTGCCAATAGCAGCTTTGAAGGTGATAGAACAAGACGGTGGACTTGATTTCGATACAGTATTTCAGGTCTCCTGTCGACTAAGGTTCCAGTCCTTCCCATAGGCTGTTTTATTTTTAATTGCGATTGAGTTTGAGTTCAAGGCTATTGGTGCAAGTGTGAGCCATTCCCTTACCCTTCATGTGTCAGCACAGACTCTTAGGAAGTCTTAGAACCCGCTCTTCCAAGTCCCGTTCCAACAGGTGTAGTTTTGAATAGTCCATCCATTGTCTCCATTCATTATCGTTTGCCCAGCAAATATATAGAGCCATTGCTACCCCCGTTGTCCATAACAAGACTCCTTTCCCGAAAGTCAAACACCAAACGCGCGTAATAATCATGAGTAGCTTTGTTCATGGAAGAAGTCTTCAAGGCCACTTTCCGTTTGGGATATCCCTTATCCTCAGCTCATTTTCCATAACTTCGTTGCCCCTCTCCCTATCTCGGTAGGCTAGATGCCTATGGCTGAGCAGGCACTTCCTTCATGACCGAAGATGCTTGGTGATCCGTCTTCATGTTCTGAAATCCGCCCCTGAAGATCTTCAAAGCACCAACAACAGAACTAGCAGCCCATAGAATCCAGCTAAAGGCGGCGAATACAGCATCTGCTCGGGCTGCCGAACAGACCGAACCACGGCAGAAGAGCAGTCTGCCGATGAAGACAGCAAGTGCGATAAATCCCGAAAAGTAGAACAAGGTGTTTAAGATCTCGACTACAAAGAGTGCGTATGGGTGAGAAGCTACCCAATATTAGTCTATCTTCAAAGCTCGGGGAGATATTGAGGTCTTACCCTTCGGCGCAAAGCGCGGAACAAACTCAAGGTAGAAGACAGAGATGAAAGAAAAGACCGGGACGAAGATCAAGAAGTCGATTTGTTTAGGCGGTGCGGTTAAGGTGTCGGCATTATACCAATGGGCAACTAATCCTGTCAGTTACTTGATATCTTGCTTTCGAATTGTCTTGCCATACCGTAACCCGAGAGTGCAAGAACGTTGACAGCAAGGATAAGCTGGGCAATCCGCAGAAGGTGGACTAATCCAAAGGCCATGAATCCCATGAATCCCATGATGTCTGCTGATTTCGTGGTATCGCGTCTGATAAATTCGTCTTCTCGTAGAGAGATAGGAGAAGCTGGTGCTCTATTACGTGCTGCTGTCACTGGTGCGCGCGTACAAATGAATGGATAATGGAGATAGATATGCGGAGAAAATAGATATCAAAGAGGAAAAGTAAAGGAAGGAAATATGACTGATAGAAGTCGCCAACTGCCATGATATTCAAATCCCGGCAGAAGCTTTGCATAAAACTGGGGGGGTGGTGTTGACCCCTTCTGTATCATGGTGAAACAGGGGCGTGGACCAATAGAGCATCACTAATGCCAACTTGGACCAGGACGTCAAAAATAGGAACAGGGAAAGCGATCATCACTGCATCAGATTTACAGGATTCTTATCGCTTGAATTGACCCATGTTCACGTTCTTACTAGATTGAGATGGTTGCCAATTGATAGCCGCCAGCACTGAACCTGCGAGCCTGCCCTGCCCGCCCGCATCTTCTGCTTCGTTGATGCGAGTCCAGAAGTAAAGCTTCGTCTGTGTTTGCTGTCTAGTTTCAAGATGACAACGCATTGCCCAAGTACCTCTCGGCAATGAAACAAAGATGCATTGTCAAAGAAGGCCGAGCAGTGTCAAGATATGATTCTGAAAGGCTCAAAACATTCGCTTTGTCTAGCATAAGCTCTTGGTATTCTTGGTATTCAAGCAGCTTCAAAGTCGACACAGGACAGGTAGAGTGAGAAAAAAGAGATTCGTGACTTTCACGCACGTGGTGTTGGAGACTCTTCTTGTTCACATACCTCTGTAGTCTTGGTAAACTGAAGTACGGTACGAAGAGTGAAAAGTGTCGACATATTATTGACAGTACTAGACTCTGAAGTTCTGAAGAATGAAAAAGTCACATGACCATTACGCCATTTGTCCGCCCCTCCAAGCGGCGCGGCCCACGTTGTGCAAAGCATGACATGCATAGATGACCACTAGTCAGATTTTACCTACCCGAGCTACCTTACAGTACTTGTATACGAGTAAGGTTATTATAGTACTGTACCTCTGCGGTTTTCGGAACTGTAAAATGGACAGGAGACGGTTTGTTTATACACGAATATTCAGCTAACTACCTAGTCGTAGGCCGAGGTAGCACCTAAAGTGTACTCATCTCGTCCTCAGCTGAGATCCATCTCATCCTCAGGTGAGATGACGTGATCCTGTAGCTCAAAGACAGCTCCTCTATGTCAACCTTTTACCCCACATTTGAAGATCTTTAAGCTCCCCTCCCCTCCCCTCCCCTCCCCTCCCTCCTTCCTTTCCTATCTCTACATCTATCTACCCCTTGTCAATCCAGGAGGACGGATCCAGACGCAATCTACTACAGATCAAATACCAAGTCCATATTATACATATACACAATGGCTCCCGACAGCACCCACTTCGAAACTCTGCAATTGCATGCGGGGCAGGAGCCAGATCCAACAACTAATGCTCGAGCTGTACCAATATATGCCACCACTGTTAGTCAAGAAACAATGTGGAATGGCGTTGAGGTTGCTAATTGTAACTGTAGAGTTTCACATTCAATGACTCTGCTCATGGAGCAAGACTGTTCGGGCTCAAGGAGTTTGGTAACATCTACAGCCGGATCATGAATGTATGCAAGAACTTCCCTATCTCCCTCTCGACTCCTTTCTCTGCAGCTTCAAATTTGAGTATGCACCAGGGAACAAATACCCAACCTAGAATTCCAATATTTACTTCCCATTGCTCCATCATCACCCTTGTCACAAATTGTATCCAGCAGTTATACGAAGGCTTCCGTGACTCTGCTAGTCAATGTATGGCCTTAGCTAACCCAAGCCTATACAGCCAACTGTCGATGTCTTTGAGAAACGTATAGCCGCTCTAGAAGGCGGAATTGCCGCCGTGGCCGCCAGCTCTGGCCAAGCAGCTCAGTTCATGACAATTGCGGCTTTGGCACACGCAGGAGACAATATCGTATCGACTACGAACCTGTACGGAGGAACCTATAATCAACTGAAGGTGTTCTTACCAAGACTGGGCATACATACCAAATTCGTCAAGGGAGACAAGCCAGAGGACTTCGCAGCAGCAATAGATGAAAACACAAAGGCAGTCTATATTGAGAGTATTGGCAACCCAAAGTACAATATCCCGGACTTTGAGGCAATTGCAAAAGTAGCTCATGAGAAGGGCGTTCCTGTAGTGGTAAGTATTCCTACCAACATTCTTTGTTCGGCCATTAATTTAGGCAGGTTGATAATACTTTCGGTGCTGGAGGTTACTTCGTTCGTCCAATCGACCACGGCGCAGATATTGTTGTTCACTCAGCAACAAAGTGGATCGGTGGACACGGCACAACAATTGGAGGGGTGGTTGTCGACTCGGGAAAGTTTGACTGGGGCAAGAATGGCAAGCGATTCCCGGAGATGGTGGAGGAATCTCCAGGATACCACGGCCTTAAATTCTGGGAAACATTTGGCCCTGTAACTTTTGCCATCCGCCTCAGAGTCGAAATCCTCCGCGATTGTGGAAGCGCGTTGAACCCATTCGGTGCCTTCCAGTTAATCCAAGGTCTCGAGACCTTGAGTCTGCGCGCTGAACGTCATGCCTTCAATGCCATTACTTTGGCTAGGTGGCTTGAGAAAAGCCCCCACGTCTCTTGGGTCTCTTATCCAGGTCTTGAAAGCCACCCATCTCACGAGCTTGCCAAAAGGTACCTGAAACGGGGATTTGGAGGCGTTCTGAGTTTCGGTGTTAAAGGAGGTGGGGCTGCCGGTAGTCAGGTTGTTGATGGCTTCAAGTTGATCTCTAACCTGGCAAATGTTGGCGACTCGAAGACTCTTGCTATCCACCCATGGTCCACAACTCACGAGCAATTGTCAGATGATGAGAAGCTTGCTTCGGGTGTAACTGAGGTATGTGCAATCTACTTGGATTCTTGAGAAAGCACACTAACAGATCTTCAGGACCTCATCCGGATATCGGTAGGCACAGAGCACATTGACGACATTATCGGCGACTTCGAGCAATCATTTATTTCCGCCGAGGCAGCCAAGACAACGGGTGGCAAGGGCGAGAATGCTTTAGAAACTGGCGGAACCGATGCAGATGCCAAGATCGTTGTTTAGCTACATGTTTCTGTTCTTTTGACCCCTGTGTTTCTGTGTTTACCTTGATTCTATACCTTTTGCAGCGAATCAAATACCCTTTTGGGATTCTTTGAGTGGGGAAAATAGTAATCTTATAAAGCAATCTATTTCAAATGTTGTTTAGTTTTCCCATGACCACAGGGAAATGACTAGAGCTGGCCATCCTGAAAGAAATCTTGATTAATGGCCCAGTGCCCCCAAGAGTAGAACTGTAGGAATTAAAACAAAACCTGCCATTATAGAAGCAACCCCACCCAAGTCAACGCAACACTTTCTGAAAATCAAAATCATTAGCAGTAGAGTGAGTTATAAAGTCCGTCCCTACGTGCCGAAAAAACCGGGGTGCCGAGAATACTTCATAGTCTAGAGGTCTTAAAAACTCACCACACAAACAAATAATGCTTTGATCTGTTCTTTTTAGTTTTGTAGCTGTCTCTATAAGAATCCAACTTGCAGTTAAAAAAAACTATAGTTTGGCGGCGCTGTCGATGATCCTACTAAGAGCATCGAAACCTATAATGCCTACTACCCCCTGCTCTATGATAACTATTAAGCTATCTACAGATCTCGGGACTATTATAAAGCTTCAATTATGCTTCAATCTAACCCCAGAATTGAAAGGCATATAGTATAAGAAAACGATATGTGTTATCATTCGCGGCAGGCTCCCGCAGGCCTTGCGAATGGTTCTTGTTTGTAAAAGTCGCTTTTTACATTCTCGGCGCAATGCAAGTGATATCCTACTGTCTGCCAATTGATTTCCATATATTCAGGCGTATTCAGTGCCCCGCTCTTCTCCAAGAATTACTATCATCGTCTATATAAGTATTGACATCATCATCCTAACCATCCTCGTAGCCATAATCATTGCCCAAATCGTCGCTGGAAGCGCCGAAAGTTGACCTAATTATCCATCCGTGACTCCATTTCCTTTCTTATATAACCTCCCGGGCCGTCCTTAGACGTCTCGACAAAGACGGTTCCTAGAGTCAGAATAGCTCTGAAGCGAGTGTTGACGAGCTTTAACGCCTCTCTAATAATCTTTGAGTACTCTGTTGCGTCGAGCTGAAGTGCTATCGCATTAGTGCTATATAAGGACGTCGTGAGCGTGCTTAACTTACCGCAGCTGCTCTAGATGATCGCGAAGATGCTGCTGCTATTTTCCTTGATGGTAACATTACCCGGTTCCATGTCGCGGATACTGTTGGTTCATGTGTTATTGTGTCATTGGACAATAGTGTTGAGTTGCAGTTACTCCGTACATAACATAGCTGCTTGCCGAGATTCCGTTTATCCAGTAACGCAAATAACTTAACAGTCGACTTACCGCTTCCGAATATCATTTCTCCTGAACAATTGGATTTGTACTGATATGAAGACATCGTTACCATGCGGCCCCGTTGTATTCCCTGCGATCGATATTTCAATAGCGACACAAGCCTGAACCAGCACAAACGAACCTCACTTGCACATGCCTTCAATTGTAACCCTTGCAATCGTCGTTTCGATAGTGAAGACGCCCTGCAGCAGCACCTACGGTATTCACCAGCGCATGCCCCCTCCTTTAGCTGTGACGACTGTGATCGATCCTTTAACAGCGAAGAGGCCCTGCTGCGGCACCTGCGGGACTCCCCTAAACACCAGCAGGATACGGAGACCCCTTTGGATGCCTTTTTCAGCTCTTTCTCAACATTTCATTATGACCCTTCTCTACCACCGGCTACTTCGTATGCAAATTTGCGGAGACACGAAGGATGGCGCCGTGGCAATTCCACGGCAGACGTTGCATGGGATAAATACCAAAAGGCGCTGCAAAGCGAACTAGAGATGTGGTATGGGGCAGAGAACGATTTGACTGCGTGGCACGTGCTTTGTCGTGCAATTGGTGTCGAGCCGCTTCCGAAGACATGTGAGCAATGCGAGCAGGTAGGAGACTATGCGACAGATATTGGTCGATGAATGCTAATGTAGATCACAGGCTGTACGAAGGACACATGTTAATATTGTTGACTTGATTGCCTGGGGAAGAAGTGGCAGTGAGGACAAAGTTCAGACCTTTCGCGACGTGGCAGAACTACGGGCCTACACTAAAGAGACCGGCAAGATATTTCGCAACCCGTTCGACCAAGAAAGTGGTAATGTGGTCTTGAGACACCTGCTTCGAAACATCTTCCGAGAAAGTTTGTAAGAGGTGTTGTGATCCGCGTTGGATATCAAACCGTGTCATCAGATTTCAGGCTGGGGAAGCCCAATAGCATCGTTAAATTGCACTCTTAGTGAATCTGCATTTCTTACTTTTACGAGTTACGTCGTGGCGAGGCGAGGAAATTCAACGTTCGCAAGACACTTATGAAGATCAAATTTGAGACGGGAATAGCCAGCTAGATTCAGGGTAATTGAAACTGACTACAGAATTTTCATATTATCCAGCTACCAACATATACCCAACTCATTTGCTTTCACTTCCGTCTCCAAGACTGCGTCAACAGCAAACAACTTGTTCCACGCCTTCAACTGAAGAAATCATCTAATTTTCAATAATGTGTCAGCGAAATTCCCCCCCTGCTGCACTTAATGCAACGCGCTTGAAGTGGTTCGGCACTCTGGTTTGGACCGCAGGTGTAACAACGGCCTATTAGAGGAGCGTTGGCAAACAGCTGAAGAACATCGAAGGCGAACTCTGGTATATCCTGTAGCGTGGTTCGCAGAACTTCAGAATCGTCGCTTTGTATCATGTCCCTAAAGTTGGCTCTGGCATGTTCGGTAGCGGTGACCCGTAGGCTGTTCGTTGATGTAGGTATGGCATAGACATCTGAGATGACAGATAGATATTCCACGGTTGTAGGGCCGTCGTTGAGAGTTGATTTGAACCTCTTCGCTGCGAGCCCCATCAAAGCCAGTACATCATATTTGTCGGCTAAATTGTACGTGAGAACTTGAACCTGCAACTGCTGACGAAGTTCTTTCATCTCATCTATCGGCTCATTGTATTTGCCGGTATAGAAGTATTTCAACAATATTTCAACAGCGACCGGATCATCGTCGTCTAGATCAATGACACCTGTATATTGCTCCTGTGTAGGGTCAGATTTCGAGCTAAACGACGATCGTTCTTGAATAATGACCTTGAAGCCTGTCATACATGCTGCATGCAAGACCGTTGATTGAGAGCAAACAACTACGCGGTGAACCTTCCAAGATCTATAGTGGCATTTGATGGTCAGATCGGAATAGGTACCGTTGTCGAAACACCTGTCTCATATCAGTTACTACTACTCGCACATGAAAGGGAACACACCGTGCAATGGTATCTACGACACTTTTTGCTTGGGCCATAATTGAATACGTTTCATGCCTGGCAGACAGGACCTCGCAGGCTCAAATACAATCGATACGCCTTCTTGAAAGCATATATAAAAGTCGAGGTCCGTGCATATAGGTAGGCTTATAGCACATCCGCTTGCGGCGACTTCGTTTGGATGCTTTCATCATGTCCTCGGACCCCACCATGTCACATTCAAACCTTGACAAGAAGAGGGTATCATGATATCTATAACGCTGAATTCGCAAAGCTGAGTGGTATAGAAGCACAAAGGCCACCCCTATCATACGCCATTCAATGAAGCTATGAATTCAGGGAAGACGTGCGGGGTCCTGCGCGCAGAACATCGATTCTATCCATGTGGAAGGTTAGTGGCTGGAATGCACCCGAAACGTTGAAACTGACTAACCTAAATGGAGGAAAACCTCAGATTTCGCGATGGCAGAGCTGCCATGTTATACCAATGAGACAGGCAAGATATTCGCAACACGTTCGACCAAGGCGGCAATGTGGTTTTGAGAAACCTGCCTCAAAGATCTTTCGATAGAGACACATGGCTCAGTGGTCGGTCGGGAATAGTAAGATCAATGCTTAAGCGCCTCCGAGCCTTTGCCTAGCGCGCTGCGTCGGGGTTCTTGATCATAGGCTTCGACTAGAGTCCTAGAACTGAAATCGTCATCCTTTGCGTCAATCCTCTTCTCGGACTTTCCCTCCTGGTTCTGGCGTTCTGCCTCGTCTTCAGACCTAAGCTGATCGAGTGAACTTGAAAAGCGTCTTCGCTTCCGTGTCTGCCGCGTCGACTTCACACTCTGGGCTCCGCTCTCTTGCATTGGTTCTCGCGACTCTTGCATTCCCTCAGCCCTATTGAGAAACTGTGCTATGATATTCTGACTTCTGTCGAGTTTCCGAAATGCATGTTTGTCAACATTTCATCGGTCGCGAAATCGGCAAGGTTGAGACAAAGGACGTTGGTTGAATTGGCAAAAGACCCATCGCCAGCCCGAAATGCCTTCCCAAGGTTAGCTTTAGCTCCATGCGCACGTAAAGAATAACATACCTGGGATATACTTATTTCTTCTGCCTCAAGAATTTTTATTCCCTCCCCATCTTCACGGATGTACCGCGGTCGCCAAACGGACAACGTTGCCTCCTTTGTGTCGCCGTACTTGATATCGATACCAATGGCCACTTTGATATCCCCCATTTGAGTATTGGATATAATCCCACGCAAGCTTTTTCAGATCTTTCCCATCTCATCTTGTGAATAGGATATCTCTAGAACGACGCCCGGGTATTCCGCATCTCGATGCTGGAACTGTGCGTAATTTCTTGACACTAAACCAAAATGCTTTGATCCGAAGTCCCGACCCGTGTATCGATCTAACATGGATTTGCACGCCACAGCAGACACAAGGCTGATGACGATCTCCCGCATAGTACAGGGTGTTTTCATAAATATTGCAACTTTCCACTTAAAACCAGGATGTAACCAGGATAATAGAGGGTTTCTATTAGCTAAAAACCCCCCTAGATAGATTATTTATCCCCTTTTAGTGATTAAACTGCTAAAATCCCCTACTTTCTACTAGAAAAAGGGTGTTTCCGGCAGTGGGACTCTATATAAGCCTTGTAAAAGCATATTTTATAGAAAGTTGCAGTTTTCATGACAATACCCTGTATCACGCTGTTCTCAGCTAGCTACTAGGTGGGGCTGGGTCTGTGAATGGAACTGAAACGGACCGGAACTGGATGGAATGGAAGCGTGTTTGTTTGGGTGAAATCTTCAAATAATAAAAAGCATGAAATGTAATGTACAGTACTGTGTGTGTATGCAGTAGGTTTCTCAATCGAGATATTTGGAGACATGTAGGCGAGTACTGGTATTGTACGTGTTTTGTGCATGGTTTGGGTACGTACTCAAACGAGGATTCTGCAGCATTGGAAGATTTGGTAGCGACGAAAGGGAAGATATTCATGTTCCAAGGGTGAGGCACGCTGAAAGAAATAGGGGTCGGCATCAAGTTAGGCGTTAACACGTGAGAAAGCCCCATTTTAATGTTTACTTACCCCTTAGTCAACGTTTTGACTCGTCGATGAACTCAAGAGCATTTTGTTCTTGACAGATTCTTGCTTAGGATGTTTCGGCTGGCTTGCTTGCGGCATCACTAGGGGCAGAAGAACTTCATATCGACAAACCTTGAAGCTCAGCGGAATTCGGAAGCCGCAAAAGAAAAGTCGTTAATACACTGGATTCAGATGTAAGGTACTGGATAGCTTTTTCCCAGCCACATATTTTGAGTACTGATAGTAACGAGCAATGATTGCACGAGTCTTATTTCTACATTCCCATCTGTTCTTACAAACCACATCAAATAAGTATGGTGATAGGCCATTTTTTGCCAGTTCCTCCACTCAAACAATGGGGTATCGATCGAAGCAAATAAGCGTATTACAAGGTTGTATCAATGCTAGGCATGTGAAAGGTAGACTAAGAGGGCTGAATAGTAGTGGTGGCCGTCGACGTCGGAGCAAGCTATGGGAGGGCATTGTGCAACGGGTCGTAGTCCTCTGGCTCAAGCGTTTAAATCTGCCCTTGAAGAAAGCTCGTCGCATGCGTTCCTGTTGTCTGAGATACGGAGTTGGTCGAATCCAAATCCAGTGTCCGCAGTAGGTCGGGTCCATTGCCACGCCAACAGTTGCCAATTCAGCTCTTTACGCCAGAACAAACCATGCCCTAGGCCTCCATCCGCACAAAGCCCTCCAGTATGCATTCGGTTCTCGAAGACAACTCGTCCAAATCTCGAGTGCACGATCGCCATAGAACACATCACGCAAGGCTCGTGGGTACAATATATCTCAAGGTCATGGCATAAATAGCCGGTTTGGTTGGTTTGCGCACGATAGTGCTCTTCTTCGAGTGGAAGACTAGGCTTGCCTCGAAATATACCGACATTCTTAGTTGTTATTTCCTGTTTTTCTCCGGCTTCGTGGCTTCGGCGCACCCACTGGGAAACCATGTCGATAGCTCGAAGTGCAGCATGAGCTGAGACATTTCCAGGACCTGGGCTGGGCCAGTTCAACCACCTTGCATCGGCAGCGACTGCTACAGGACGAGATACCCCATTTATCCTTTCGACGATGACCACCCCAACTGCTTCTCCGAAGCCTGCAGCCTTAGATTGCTGAGCTACTTCTGCGGCCATGTCCATCCACTTCCTGACATCGCCCTCGATATCCTCCTCAGCTCTGGCCATTATACTTGGATGGGGGCCAAACGGGTTGCTTTTCTTGTAGACTGTAGGCCACCATCGAGAAGACCAAAGGGCCGCCTGCTCTTGAGACGTAGGCGCCTGGAGGGGAACATCGATCGAGAAGAACACGAGGCTACCCAGTGTTGGAGACAGGGAATCCGCCAAGAATTTCCGAGTAGTTATCGCCATTGGGGCTGCAATCACGAAGACTATATGCCCGTCGTTCCTCGGTGCTACCTTTGCGTAGGCACTTCGGACATGATCATTGACCTCGTGATACTTGGCGAATCGGCGTAGGTGCTGCAGATCAACGCCGCCGTCGTTTGGCAGAATGGTGCGAATTAACCTGGAGGCTCGTTAATAAATTGACGCGGCACCGAGGAGAGAGAGACATACCCGATTGCGGTGCTGGCTAGCTTGACCGGGACTGCGGTGACATGAACGCTCATAACGTTGTCACCGGCCCTTGTCTCTAACTTTGTCTTCAAGAAAGCAAGGCTTCCTCTGTCTATTGCACAATCTGAGCTTGACTTGTATGGCTCTGCATGTTGCAGATTCCCATTGTTGTCGGTCATCTCATGTCGTCGTGAGAAGTTCAGCCTCGGGCTTCAGCCTTGCGAATTTCGTTGGTGCAGGTCAGAGGCGGTGTCAACGTAAGTAGGGAGATGTTGGGCAGACGGTGTAAAGAGAAGTATTTCCACCGTTACAAGGAAGTAACCTTAGTCAAGGAAGATCTTGGAGCCGTCGAGGTTCAGTGCTCGCTGCCATAATTTAGAAAGGAAGGCAGGACGGGAACACAATGTACCTTACTCGTGAAGTTTTTGGGTGAGAGATCCACTTTCACGTGATCCAACTCTTGCCTCTTTTGTTTTTCCCGGAAGGAACAGCTCAACCGTTCAAGGCGCTGGCTTGTTAAACGAACTACATTTCTATGTCACAGTCAATTATCACTGAAGCAAACGAGTCATCCATAGTTTCGTCCATGTTTCATTGCTCTAGTTACAAGTGTTTGCTGCAGTAGCAGTTCCCGCTCACGCCCAAGATCTGTAAGAAAAGAATAATGATAATGCACAAATGCAGGCCTCGGATCTCGACTATCCAGGGAAAGTAGCAAACTATCGAAAGAGGTTTTGTTGCCACTATCCCAAATGTGATGAAAAAGTAATGCGAAGGGGGGTACAAAGTGCACCGCGTTTCGAGTCAGCCCACGATTGAGTCTGAGCTCGCGGGCTTGAGCCGCGTGTTACACCAAGGTAGAATAGAACGCGGATTGTGTGAACACAACATTTCTGTCTGCTCGCAAATTTTCGAAGGGAAGTAACCGATTAACACGCCGAGAGGTAAAAACACCGAGAGAAAGAAAATGATCAAGGAAAATGAAGGTCTCTATGTTGTGGCCGATGCGTACGGGTACAGGTCGAGCTGCGCAGTCGCTCATATTGTACCTGCGCTGAATGTTGTCGTGTCTCGTGCTTCGATCTTTTGAGAACGAGCTTTATGGTACAGGAGGCGCGTGTAAAAATGCTGAATTGAAAATTCTCCGTGCTGCATGCACTGTAATAGACGATATAAGGCGAAAGAGTCTGCAATGATTGCAGTCCCTGGGTGCTATTGTGACAACGGAGGCCGTGATATCGTAAGGTAAAGGGAAAACAGGTATCGAGGAGCGAAGTCTGCCTTTAAGGGCACACGATGGGTTCTGTGGAGAATCCGGCGCAAATCAAGACCCGAAAAGATTCATGTTCGTACCGTTACATACGTAAAGATCATGTCATCGTTACGAAAGGTTGAGTCAACTCAAAGCCAAGTCTCAGCTCCAGTCTGGCCATTTCCTCTACCATACGAGTAAGGGAATGGTTGCTGGGAACCTTGGCGGTTGGATGTAAGCTGCTCACTGCTGGGGAAGCCTCCAGCACCGCCTGGCTGAGGTGCCGGACGGGTCACTGCTCCGGGGAAGCCATTTGTAGTGCCAGGCCCACTTGCCGGTGGGTATCCATTGGCGTAGGCACTGACCGGGCTAACAAAGCTCCCAGCAGAGGCGTTCGACAAGCCACGTTGATGGCGAATTGGTGCCTGCGTTGGCTCTAGCTCATTCGGGGTAGCTTGGCCACTTGACGGACCACTGCGGTTCTCATTGCCTTGAATCTTGGCCTGGATGCGGCGACCGTAGGGGGTTGTGCGGATAGCAGGGAGGTAAGGACGGATGGCCTCAATCAAGCGCACCTTCATTGTAGGATTGGCGTAGTCAAGGGCAGTCTGAATGACATAGTTGGCGAAAGAGTCTCGGAGAAGACGATCAAGCTCTGATGGCTGAAGCATCTCCTCAATCAGCATATCCTTTGATGGCTCCTGAGCACATCGCAGGCATTTTTCGATAACATTGGAGCTAAACTTTTGCTTTGAAAGCTGACCAACACGTCCTGAGAACATTGCAACAAGGGGTTCTGTGAAGATTGGTTCGTTCAAATCGAGGATGTATTGGACAACGTAGTTTCCGAAAGGATCTTGAACGAGGAGGAAAGCATTGTTAGAGATTTGTCTAATCAACCAAGCCTTTTGTTCTCCAGAAGCGTGGTCAATGCAACGTTGAAGGACGCAGCAACCATGGCGGTGAGTGCCCACATCGATGCAGTTGGTTCCAACAGCGTCGAAAATGAATTGAGCATCAGTTGGTGAAAGCTTGTTGAGACACTTCTGGATGACGTGGTTGCCGTTCAGGTCTTGAATAAGCTCAACAACTCGATAGCGGAGAGCACTGATAATGGTCTGGACCTGGCCAGGGGTTGAGATGAACTCGATCATCTTCTGCAAAGCCCGAGTTCCATGCTGATTGAGAGCAATGCGGACAAGATCGTGAGAGGCGTTCTCGATCAGAACGGTGCGCTCGTCATCGTTGCAGTACTCCAGCAGCTTCTGGCACAGATAGTTACCAAAAGGATCAGTCATCAGCTCAATGACATGCTGATTGGTCTCCAGCCATATCATGTGGACTTGAGCAGGATCACGGTCCTCCAACTTCTTCTGTAGGTACCGACACCCATGCTGGTCCTTGCACAGAGAATAGATCTCACCACCAATCTGATCCAGTGCCAAGTTGGCAAATCGGTTCATTGCTAATATACGAGTCAAAAATACAGCCAATAGCGAAAAGGGAGAAGTACTTACCTTCACCATCGTTTTGTCGACGCTGCTGAATAACACGAGCCTGGCTGTCATGGCCGCGGGCCTGAGTTTGCGGATACATGTTACCATAAGGAGCATATGGGTTGGGTTGTGGAGAGTACATGGGCTGCTGGCCAAGGCTCATGTTCTGCATTCCCATGTTCATAATTGGCATGTTGTAATTGTAATAGCCCTGGCCAGGAACAGAGTATGCTTGTTGCGCTGTTGGAGAGGTCATCGCCGCTGGCAGTTGTGCTTGAGACATGCTCTGAGTTAAGGTAGGATTGAATGGAGCGGTACTAGCTTGAAGAGCTGAGTTGATAGATTGATAACCTCCATTCTGTGCATCTCGCAAAGTAGAGGTCTCTCCCGAAGACATCTCACGGCTTAATCGGTTGTTCATAGCATTTGGTGGAATGCGGCCCAAACTGGCGTTGTGGTTGTGCAAATGTTGCTGCGCATGCGAGTTTGGCGTCGTGTTAACGCTCGACATTCCGTTCATGCTTGATCTCATCGTAGGGACCTCACTTGCAGATTGGGAAGAATGGAGCTTTGGAGGTGTAGCATGTGGCGATGTAACGGGGGTAGAGGTGCTATCTTGGTCGTAATACTGCGAGTCTAAAGAATGACGGTACTGGCGAGAGCTGACTGGGGACTCGGCCTGGGAGTTCGAAGCTGATCCGTTGGTCTGGCCTGGAATATTGCTCATTGGAAGGTTCTGTTGGGACTGGGAGGACCTGTGTCCGCGCGAAGCAAACGGAGCCGCCCAACCGTTGGAGTCCGGGCCAGGTGACTGTGACAAAGCCAGATCAAGAGCTGCAGAGGAGGCGGAAAGCTGCATCTAGCGGTCAGGCAATGGTTCGACAGTGAATTGAAGAGAGCTTACCAAGCCGGGGTAGTCATCACGACGAACAAGAATTGGAAACTTGTCGTCTGTGGCGTTCATTTGCAAATACGTCTTAACGTCTGGAGATGAAGCACCATCTCCTCGCCGAAGAGGAAGCGGGTGGTACTGGCGGGATCGTCGGACAACATGTTGTGTATGCCGTTGCGTGATTTGGTTACAGGCATCGAATATCTGTTGAGACTATGCGGATATCAGTTAAATGAAGTCGACAGTGCTTTTGGAAGAACAGATTGCGCTTCTCGAAGACGAGGTTGAGGGTAAAAAAAATGTACGGAGGTAGATAACAATGAATAGGATAGAGTGCTGCCAGAGCGAATAGTCAATTGTCCTTGCGACTCAAGAAATGGTTTGCAAGTAGAATGGAATGTATGCTGCTGCGTTGAGAAGGCTTGTTGTGTGATAGAAGAATCGTTGTACAGAGTTGAAGGGGGAAGTGGAAGTTGGGGAGTTGGATAATGGTGGTGGTGGGGGTGAAACGAGGAAGATATAAAAACACACTTAAGACCGACCACCTAGTCTAAAGTGAATGTTTCAATACGTCGGGCAGTGGGATCTTTAAAAAAAAAAAGTGAAAAATGAGGTGGTGCTAAATATTGTATACTCAAAAGAGTCCCAGGAACAAATTCGGGGGAAAAGAGAGTGCTAATGTGGGCGGTGGGAAGATGATGACTGCCAGCAAGATGCTCGAATGTCAAGTGGGCAAGTTGTGCCGAGACGCTAGCGCTCGAAGCTGAATGGAAGAGCAACAGTGACAGGTATTTCTGTGCTTCAAGATACCGCACGTGGCGATAGATAGGCATAGTTGAGAAGCACAATCGCAAGAGGACATGTACTACAATATTTGAAAAGCCAGCACTTACGCATTCGTTGCTCGGTGACTTGTCGGATCCTGTCTAACAGCCTCCTCCTTCTCGTCTTCGTCACTGTTGCGTCTGGATCCTGGAACTGATTTGGAAGGGAGCTTATCATCCATCATTCGAGATTGGAGTATGCCGGATTGTGGGGAAGTGAGCTGAGAACCAGATCGCCCTGGGCGATTGTAGAGACCTGGCGGAGAGGTCAGGCTCGAAGCCGAGTATCGATTTGGTCGAGAGAACACTGAAGGAAATCCCGAAGTAGTTTCGCGATACTCGGGTGGAGTAGTTGGTTCGGATTGATGGCCGGTATTCGAGTTCTTATTGTTGGTTCGACCAATATCCTCCTGCATCTGAGCAAGCTCTTGTTCTTCGCGGCGTTGCTGCAGATCCAGAAGTTGCATCTCAGCCTCAAATCGTCTTTTCTGCTCTCGTAGTCGCTCGTACTCGAGTTTCTTTTTCTCTAACTGTGGGGTGTTAGCAAAAGCTGAACGTATCTGTGTGTAGTGGGGGTAGATCGAAGTGGGGGATCGTTTCCTAGAGTGGAAAACGAAGGGGGTGGTGAGGGCTCCTGAATTTTAGACATGTAGCTCGAAGAAAGTAGTAGCTTACAAGTTGCACCTTGTGGTAAGTCTAAAGTTGTGATCAGCAAATGTATAGTACAGAATTCCGAGGTAGAATGCGAGTATTGGTGTTGAAGTTCCAAGAAAATTGGACGGAAACTGTGTGCGATGAAGATTACATACCGAGGGACCATATTCCAAGGGCTGCTCTGGCACACCGCGCTGGGTGAGCAGAGATCCAATTGTCGGTACTCTACCGGAGTCGGTAGTGAATCTTCTTATCAGACCGCCCCGGCCATCTTGAGTATGGAGAGGTTGGGATTGAGGTACTCGGCTGGTTCGTGGAGGAGAGACTAGACCATTGATTGAATCAAGGGATTGCTGGCTGCGAAAGCGTAACTCGTCCATCCTGTCGCTTGTACTATTGGAATAGGCCATGTTCGTATACTATAACAACACTGAAAATGGTCAGAATTCATCCAGCACGTACGCGCGGGGTTTCTCAAAGGTGCAATCCCAACGCCAGCGAGATCACCACGGCACAACTCGTACAAGTCAAGCAAAGCAGGAGAAAGGATGGGTAGGTATTTACCTGAGAAACTAGAAACAGAAGTATCCAAAAGAAGGTTATGCGTGCGTCCTGGAGACCAGGCGCCGTGCAAAGAATTGTAGTATCGATACCAAGGAGAGTCTTGTGGAGGAGCTTGAAGACTGTCGTCGACCCCTGTGTCGCTACGCTTTCATCTAGTCGCTTGGTGCGGTAAAGCTAGTAAGTCCCTGAGTAGGCCTACTCGTATTTATCCCAACAACAATCAACATGGGACAGGCACTAAGAATTGGAGAAATGGTAACGTCTAGGGATACAATATATTACTGATACAAGTTGCAGAGGGAGGGATGCAGAGGAAGACAGAATGCGAGGCGGTAGCATCGAGTGGTTGGAACTTGGGTACAGTAGGGAGGGAGCTGTCAGTGCATGGTGCCCTGGCCTGGCCTGGCCTGCAAAGGGATTTAGGCACAGGATTGAAAGCACGGTGACAACCTACTACTACCTAGCCCAATTGGACGGACCTTGGGGAGAACACTGCACTGCTTAGAAATGAGTAGTCGTTTCTGTGCTTGCGTGTAGTCTTCACTAATCGATTTCCAAAGCACAAGTCGGGCATGGAGAATACAGTAGGTAGTTATTATTATCAGGACTTGCAGGACTTTAAAGGGTTTCCTTCGACCACTTTGTGTACCGCCAGAGTGAAGGGTTCCATCAATCAACCACAACCATTGCAATTCTTATAGGGCTTGAAGCGCTGTGCTGTCCTCAAGCCTGAAACCACTTTACGGTTGGCAGGTACTCAATGCCCATTGAGCGGTAAGAGAGGGCTTATGAACCCTTTTGCCCTTAAATTTCTATTCTCAACTGTACTGTATCAAGCACGCACGGTACGGTACGTTACGGTAGTATTCAACCTATGGCATGGCGAACTACCCGTACAAGTCTGGCAATTAGTTCTAGGCCGGAGCGGGATCGACATGCCTTCCCTTCCACTCAAACCAGTGGAAATCTGGGTTTTACGTGGCAAAGGGGGGCAAAAGCTCGGTCGGGGTGGGCTCAGAGGGGGTTGAAGATCTCATCCCTACAAGTACTCCGTAGAGCATGAGGGGGAGGGGAGGGGTATCTCTTCCACCTTTGCCTGATACACAACGAAAAGAAAAGCCAGGTAGCTCTCAGTACTATCTGTCCTTGATACTGAAAAATAATAGTGAGTGGTTGTCAAGTACAGTACATATCATATAGTAAAATTCAACATTCCCGGTTTCTCAAAGTTCCAGTTCCACGACAAGGACAAGCAAGTGAGTTCATTCAGAGAAGCGGTGTAGATATCGGACGAGACGGCCGCTTTTTAGCTTTTCAGGGGTTGTTTGGTCTTGGCCAGGAACCACGGGGCGGCACGTCTTTAATCCGAGATAATAGGCCGCTTGCCGAGCCGAGCTTATAGCCTCTTGGTGGGGTACGATTTGTACTCGTCGTTTTTTTTTGAGGATACTCTATCGAGACAGACCCGTCATTCGATAGACTTTTCCTTACAGCAACGACGCAACCAATAATGCCGCCCAAAAAGAAGGCATCAGCTGCCGGGCCCGTTGAGGTCTCAGCTTCAAAGCCATCGTCTGCAGAAAATGTATGAATGTCAAGTTACGTCTTGCAAACCTATTTCTAATCATGCGTATAGACAGGAGAGACGGAAGCTGGTGGACAAGATGCCGGCACAGATAATACCAAACGAAAGCGTACGCGAACCACAAAGTCTGCCGCAAAGAACGAACCTGATAAACATAAGGGGGACGATGTATGTTGCTGGATCTGCGAGCCCTAGAACCGTCCTAACCTCGTCTATATAGTGCTTTTCCGCATTACTCGAACCATTCTACGGCGGAAAGAGCTTGACAGATCCCATTAATACGGCCGAGGTGCGGATGTGTTTATACAGCTATTATGGAAGTATGCTGATGTCTAGATAGGACAAATGGAATCTATTGCCTGCGTTCTTGAAGGTCAAAGGCCTAGTCAAGCAACACATTGACTCGTTCAACTTCTTTATCGAGCAGGAAATCAAGGAGATCGTCCGAGCAAATAGGAGGGTCACTAGCGATGTCGATGCATCTTTCTTTCTCGAGTCCGTGTTCCCGTTAATATTCCACGATATTCTTATACTTACTTTGGTCTCAGGTACACTGATATTAGAGTGGGCGAGCCTGAACGTCTGGACTATGACGACCGCAAACCGCAGAACGAGATCACTCCCAACGAATGCCGTCTCCGAGACATGACCTATGCTGCACCAATTCGAGTTGATATAAGATACATGCGAGGGAAGGTCATCATTGGGAGGAAGAATATTGCTATTGGAAGAATGCCAATTATGCTTCGAAGCTCAAAGTGCCGGCTATCTGGCAAGAATGACCGTGAAATGGCGCATATGAATGAATGTGCCCTTGATCCCGGAGGCTACTTTATTGTCAATGGTACGGAGAAGGTCATTTTGGTCCAAGAACAGTTGAGCAAGAACAGAGTTATCGTTGAGGCTGATCCCAAGAAGGGCATGGTTTCAGCATCAGTCACCAGGTCAAGACCCCTAATGACTGTACCTGATACAATCTAACTTCTTCTAGTTCTACACACGAGAGAAAATCCAAGAGTTACGTTATGCTGAAGAAGGAACGAATATATCTACAACATAACATTCTCACGGAGGCGGTTCCCATTGTTATCGTGCTTAAAGCAATGGGCATTCAATCAGATCACGAGATGCTGCTTTTGGTTGCCGGTACAGATAGCACATACCAGGACGAGTTTGCCGTGAACTTTGAGGAGGCTTCTAGATTGAAGATCTTTTCGCAGCAGCAAGCCTTGGATCATATTGGATCCAAGGTCAAAATGGGCGGGAGAAATAAAGCACAAGGCGCACCACAACGCCGAAATCATATTAGTGATGGCCTTGAAGCTCTTGCTAATATCATCATCACGCATGTGCCTGTGGTTGGGTTGGATTTCAGACCCAAAGCCCTTTATGTATGCTTCATGGTCCGAAGAGTTCTCATGGCAATGCACGACCCCAGCCTGGTGGACGATCGCGATTATGTCGGTAACAAAAGACTCGAACTTGCTGGCCAGCTTTTATCCTTGCTTTTTGAAGATTTATTCAAGAAATTCAACGTCGACCTGAAAATCAATATCGACAAGGTCTTGAAGAAGCAAAATCGAGCAATGGAATTCGATGCCTTCAACCATATGCAGTCTCACGGTAATTATATTACACTCGGCATGAACCGTGCTATTTCGACCGGTAATTGGAGCGTCAAGCGATTCAAGATGGATCGAGCTGGGGTTACGCATGTTCTCAGCAGATTGAGCTACATCAGTGCTCTGGGAATGATGACCCGAATCAGTAGTCAGTTTGAGAAGACTAGGAAAGTCAGTGGTCCCAGAGCCTTGCAACCGTCGCAATTCGGCATGCTTTGCCCTTCTGATACCCCTGAAGGCGAGGCTTGCGGTCTTGTGAAAAACTTAGCTCTCATGACCCACATCACGACAAACGACGACGATGAGCCTGTGAAAAAGCTAGTTTCAGCTCTGGGCGTAGAAGACATTATCTCTATGAGTGGGAAGGAAATCTATGAGGAAGGGGCCTACGTTGTATTCGTCAACGGCACCCCTCTTGCGCTTACAAGACAGCCAAAGGATTTCTTAAATTCTTTCCGGAAATATCGCCGTATGGGTAGGGTTTCTGAATTTGTCAGTATCTTCATTAACCATCACACGAATTCTGTTCACATCGCAACGGATGAAGGACGAATCTGTCGACCCCTTATCGTTGTCGACAATGGAAAATCGAAGGTCACCAAACGATCTCTCGAGGCTCTACGAAAAGGCCTGATGAACTTCGACGACTTTTTGCACCGAGGTATCGTTGAGTATGTAGATGTCAACGAAGAAAACGACTCAAATATTGCGCTCTACGAGAAGGAAATCAACCCAACGACGACACATCTTGAAATCGAACCTTTCACGATTCTAGGTGCAGTGGCTGGACTCATTCCATACCCTCACCATAACCAATCCCCAAGAAATACATACCAATGTGCTATGGGTAAGCAAGCTATTGGAGTCATCGCATATAACCAGCTGTCACGCATCGACACTCTGCTGTATCTTATGGTTTACCCACAACAGCCAATGGTCAAAACCAGGACTATTGAGTTGATTCATTATGACAAGCTCCCCGCTGGTCAAAATGCAACGGTCGCGGTCATGTCATACTCAGGATATGATATCGAGGATGCTTTAGTACTAAACAAAGCTTCTTGTGACCGTGGGTTTGGAAGATGTCAGGTATTCCGTAAATATGCAACACAAGTTCGCAAATACGCCAATAAGTCTTCAGACCGAATAGTCGCTCCTGTCCTAGACGAGAAGAATAAAGGCATCCCCAACAAAAAGTACGCAATCCTAACCCACGAAGGCATGGCCCACGTTGGCGAGAAGATCGTCGCCGGCCAAGTTTTCATCAACAAAGAGACTCCCGCAAATACCATGTCCACAGGCATCGGCTCAGATTTCGGATCAAACGATTTCAAGCCCGCGCCCATGACCTACAAGCTCCACGACTTCAGCTACATCGACAAAATCATGCTCTCGCAGACCGAAAACGAGACCATGGTTGTTAAAGTCCAGACCCGGCAGACCCGTCGTCCTGAACTCGGAGACAAATTCTCGTCTCGCCACGGACAGAAGGGCGTAGTAGGTATCATCGTGAACCAAGAAGACATGCCCTTCGCCGACTCCGGTGTAACCCCCGACATAATCATGAACCCTCACGGTTTTCCCTCGCGTATGACAGTCGGCAAGATGCTGGAGCTGCTGTCCGGTAAAGCCGGGGTTTTGAACGGGACGCTGGAATACGGAACTGCGTTCGGAGGCAGCAAAGTCGACGATATGGGAGCGATCCTCGTGAAAAATGGGTTTAGTTACTCTGGCAAGGATTTCGTCACTTCGGGCATCACAGGCGAATCGCTGCCGGCTTATATATTCTTCGGCCCGATCTATTACCAGAAACTCAAGCACATGGTGCAAGATAAGATGCATTCGCGCTCCCGGGGTCCCCTTGCCATTCTCACGCGGCAGCCTACGGAAGGTCGTTCGCGCGACGGAGGGTTGAGATTAGGAGAGATGGAACGTGATTGTTTGATTGCTTATGGTGCTTCTCAGTTATTACTGGAGCGGCTCATGCTGAGCAGTGACGCGCATCAGGTCGATATCTGTGAGGTCTGTGGCTTGATGGGGTATCAGGGGTGGTGCCAGACGTGTAAGAGCACGAGGGGTGTGACGAGGATGACGATGCCATATGCGGCCAAATTGTTGGTGCAGGAGTTGCTGAGTATGAATGTGCTGGTGAGACTTAAGTTGGATGATGAGTTTCCACATCCTAAATGAGAGAAGGTATGAACATGGACAGTTGTGAATTATATGTAGGATAAGGCTGGGTGCATTTGCGTGGAGTTGGTTTCAAGATGGACGGGAGCATAGCCCTGGCGTATAAAATGATACCATGTTGATATATACATATTCTGCATTCGTGACGACATGATTTTAGCGAGCGGATATTCCTTCTGAGGAGAACGATTATATATGATAAAAGACTTATTGCATCCAAGCGTTAGGTAAGAGAGGAGAAGCAGGACTCGTAACATCAAACGTGGCTGACGAGGAGTACTCAGTCGTTCTAAGGATTGCTTGCCATCTAGTTAAATTCTCACAACACCACACCAATATCTCATATCCACATCTTCAAAATTGCGAAATCTTATATAGCCCTTGTTATCACAAAGCCACTTGTAGCTTCGCGGATGAGGTCTAAAAATCCGGGCTTTGGTGTCGCGGGTATCATTGAGGTCTCGGAGGACAATCCTAGATTGACATTTTGTATACTTCTATACCTCATCAGTTTCAATGGCACTCCAGGCGTGTATGGAGGATATGTTATAGGACATGAAGGAGCTGCTCTTTTATTCAATGATCAGTCTTGTCAGCGAGTAGAATTTCTTCTATTTAGGGTGCGTAATAATCCTAAGAGACATGGACAAATATATCGGTGCGAGATGCATAGTCATTCGGGAAATTCTGTCTCTGCCTTTTAATAGGGCCATGTCTCTTGTGAGGGCCTCTTTATCTTCTTCATTCCGTGTTTGTTAACTCTTCATCAAAGAGGCGTCTGCACTAAGCATTCATCGAATCCGTATCATCCTTGGGCCGCTACTGAAGCCTGCTCGGCAGGGCTGAAATACCCCTCGACATTACTTTCGGCTTTTTGTGAAGGACTTGGCTGTTGTTCTAGATCTGGAATTCTCCTGGCTTGCCTACACCATTCATGGCTGAGCCATCCTGTGACTGCTTAGGACTTGACATTGCTGGGTCGTGCTGGAGAATTGATTTGTTCCAGATGGTGACGCGGCATGAAACGGTGGAAGGAGTTAGGGAGAGGTTTTCCGGGTACGTGTCAGCTCCCTGGCACGCATCAGTCCAGGAATCTTGATATGTATCGTAGTTACTCACTCCTGATGAGAGGGCCTGAATCTGCCTCTTCCGCGCCAATCCAAGCAAATCGCTGGATTGAGTGCAACGACCCCCCAACGTAAAGACTCTTCATCCTCCCCTCGATATCCCTACAGAACTTTAAACACCTTACAGGGTTGTTGACGACGAAATCTGGCGGCATTTGTATATGAGGAATGACTATGTAGGGCCAGAGAGTTAGGCACACTCTTTTTAAAGCACCTCCTATTACACAAAACGCTTACCTGTATGCCCACCATGTAGTGAGAATAGTCGAATAGGTGGGTTGACAGAATCCCATTCCTGCGCGGCCGCAACAGTTCCTGTTTCCAAGTCGATATCAAAACCCGTATTGATGGTAGAGTCATTTTTGAAGTCAGGGTACTGCAAGATTGACCGAGTACTTGTTTGATTTTTGATAGAGATATCACGTCTTCGGGGTTTTGGTATGGAGCTATTCTTCTTCGGTCCCGGGGCGCTTGAAGAGACCGTGCTTGTAAGCTTTCGGAACCGCAAGTCGTATTGGCAGAGATGAGAGTTGAGACCGGCCACTATAATTCTATGGTTATCAAGCTGACGGATGTGAGTTATACAGCTTGGATGAGTAATAACATCCTCAGAGCTGGTATTGGGGACACGGAGATCAGCAATATTAAGAATTCCCTTTCGACCGCCAGAGAGTAGAATATTGTGATTATCTGCCAAAAACTCCAAGGCAAAAACATCGCTAGGGTTTTCCCCTCGAGGATAGAAGTCTGACTTGAACCAGCTTAGGCTGAAGTCTGATTTTCTAAGTCCGAGTATTCCATAACTAGACCCGAATGCGAACAGGTAAGGAGAATCTGGGGGCGCAGGCGTTGATGAAAAGATGTTTGGCTCTGGACCTCTTTCTACTCCGGGTCCAAAGATGGTGCTGGAACTCTGTGAAAAATCCTCGTCTGATAAAGGCTGTCAGTGGGTTGGCAATGGCATGGAGGGAGGAAACTCTGAATCGCCGTTTAGATGGGAGGTTCTTAAATGGAGCCGCATTGCAGCTCCTTTCCAGAATAATATATATTTCACTTACCAGGTTCCGCATCAAGCGGCCTTAAGTTATTCGTTATCGCAATCCCAGAATTGGTGGAGCCGGAAAGCCATGTCATTGCAACACTTCTGCAGGGCTCATTCATATTGAGAGAGGTGGTACGTCCACTATTCCCGAAATGTTGTAAAAACCGGGCTGCTTGTGAAGAATAAATTCCCTGTGGGGTGAGAGGACCGTGGCAGATTTCGATGCTCCTGTGATTATCAGACCGATTGCTTTTGTCTACATTCAAGCGAAAGGCGGATAATCCGTCTCCATGGGCTATAATGTCGGTCATTAGTATAACGTCCCATAGAACGAGAATGAAAGAAATGTACCTAATCTAATATCCACCAAGGAGGGACCTAGATCTGTCCGGTGAAACAACGTAAACAGAGCATTGCTATTTTGGGCTCGAAAGGCGGGTAGCCGGCCTTGAGGAACAAGGCCATCGGCCAGTAGCTGGGTGGCATCAATACCGTCATGTTTTCCCAGCTCCCGTGAGAGAATCCGACCAGCGAGCGATGCTTCCAGGATTTTGGACCGGCAAATTCGACCCCTTTCCCTTCTGGCCTGCTTTTCTCTTTTCTCCTTATCATCATCAACTGTCTTCCTCCTCTTGACGTCCTGGGATGAGTATGCCGAGCCGGCGGGGCTCTTGGTTTCTATTTTAAAATATTTCCTCTTCTCTCTGTCTGCATTAACATGGCAGTATTAGCAGGCTGAACAAGCACATGACCATTTCTACACAATTTACCATAGTAATAACCAGGAATATCACGTATTTGACCATCCATAATGATACTGTTGGATACTCAAAGTCCAGGTCAAGGACTGACGAGAAGGGAAGTGGCAAATAAAGCTCCAAAATAGTCTATTTGCCATCATTATTGTAGAGGGAAGACGGGATGGTACGGTGGTGGTGACTTGATCTTGATGTTTGATGGCAGGTGCGATTAGCTCGCGACAGTTTTTTACTTGGCCGACACCCCATTCAAAGCCCCGCCCCCACCGCCAGTCGGTCCTTTGTAAAGCTCTAGCTTTCAGCCCAAAGTGAAGGCAATTCTCGTTCGAGTCTGCTTCATTCAAAGTTACAATTCCCTTGCTACCACTCTAAACAACCCAAAATGGTCTACACACTTTCAGTCCACCGTAAGTCGAGGTCGAGCTTCGTTCCCACAAGCACAGTCAGACAGGCATTGCTAACAACCTTCAAGTCTATGCCAACGACAAGCCGGACTCCATCGTTCGACTCAAGGCAAAGCTTGTCGAAGCTGCACGAGTCTATCGAAATGATAAAGAGACCATCGATTGGTTGGTCATGCAAGATGTCCACGATCCCAGAGCCTTCACAATCGTAGAGCGGTTTGAAAATGAGAGTGTATGGTTTCCGCCTCCTTACAGTGCCCCGCTTAACCTCTTAAAAACCACACTTCCATATTTCCTTAGCTGACTTTGGCTTGCATATTCAGAGTCAGAAATACCACCTTGAAAACCCATACTGGAAGACTTTTGATCCTTATGTCATACCTCTTCTCGATCGCCCTATGGATTTACGCAGACACGAAGAATTAGACACCAGCAAGGATGTTGAAGTGCCAGTTTAGGAGGGAAGGAATGGAATGAGCTTGCCTTGTACCTCTATGAATTGTAACCGCCCAATATGCTGTATAACCATGGAGGGTTGCTCAGAGAGTACATCATGTCTATCATGGAGTTTGGGAGGTGACTTTCAAAGTTGTTAGACTACAGAGGTCATTCGGAGGCCATTGCAATAAGAGATCATTCGCCTTGGTTCAAAGTAATTGGGTGTGAAAACAGCCAGAAGAAAATCCAGCTGGTTGATATCAAATATTGGTTGGTCAGAAGAATCTTCAGAAAGTGGTACTATCCATTATTGTTCGGTTTGATACAGCAGATTACAGCTCTGCATCTGCTGCACCTTCTGTCGAGTCAAAGCACCTACCTCATAAACGTGACTCGGTGTCTAGATGCCGAAGACTGAGAGATTGTTGATAATTGGACGCTTTTCGACGAGAAGTGCTTTCGCAACACTCAGCCTCGTGTTCCGTGAAAAGGCGAGGCTGAATATTTGAACGCGGGTGGTCTGTGCTCGCCGCGCTTCGATTGTTCTGTTTCCGTACTGCACCTCACTCATCATACTTCGGAGCACCCCATGACAAACATGCTGAAAAATGTCACGAAAACACATTGCATGCATATTGTAGCTTCACACCTCAACCTACAATGCCAATAACCATTAGCTCTGGTTGCGCTGGCTTTCTTTCTTCCCTCCTGTTCCTGTCATGGCGGCGACACGCGCGTAAGTGAATGCGCGACTTCGCGCTACTATAATACTGACAAGCCATAGATACCTTCCGGACCCAGATCTTATTGACCTCACCTTGAGCGACGACGATGCCAGCGACCAGGCACCACAGAGGGGTTCAAAAATATCAGCTTCGCAGGCCCAAATGCTCGACGCTCTCCCTGTTTCGCACGATGGATTGCCTGGGCCCCATGGTCCTGGCTCCGCAAATGGGTTGCGCACCACAATAGCTTACAGGATAGGAGATGGACTATACCAAGACAATGATTTTCAGCATTTAGCAACGGGGCCGTCTTCCGCCGACAGCGCCAATGCGAGAGCGCTCCTGCGCTTTCCTGTAGCAACAAGAAGTTCAGCCGGGGCACATACCAGAGGGGTTAATTCGTCAAGCAGGCGCAAACTTTCCACGGGAAACGCCAGTCGGAGTGGCGCAGTAACCGTAGAGAACCCCGCGAAGAGGCGCAAGACTCATGGAGGAGTATCATCTGGGCAGAGCAACAGATCTACCCAAAATGCTGGTTCTCGAGACGGTGTACACACTACAAGCCAAGCTGCTCAAAACAACGAGTTTCAGATCAACCTGGTGCTCAAGAGACAAGTCTTTCCCCATATCAAAATTGCCGTCTCGCAATGCCAACAGAGGCTTTCAGAAGAAGAAAGAGCGGAGGTTGGCGAAAAGGTAAGAATGCATTGTTTTATAAGTACTTAGCTCATATATGCTAACTTCCTTTAGACAGCAGGATTCCTCGTGAAAGACCCTCGCTTCATAAAAAACTTCGTAGCCAATGGTTTAAAGCTAAGTATGGCATACGAAAATGATCTTGCAGCTCGAGCAAAAATTATGGTGGATCAATATGCGAAAGAGATGTCGATGGTTAGTACAATGCCTTCGCTGCCGCGCAATCTCCTGACTCAACAATTAATGTACGCAGCAAAACGCAATCCAGACGTCTAGAAGCAATTCTACTGGTTCGGAAGCTGGTGGCGACATATTTGAAAAGCCTCCTATACTACCAAAGCAAACTTCAATGAATAGCACGAACTCGCGAAAGTATTCGTCTTCTCCCGCAACTTCCTTTAGCCATGACGGTTTAGATCTAGGGGATTCCATGAATAATGAGACGTTACGAACTTCCAGCTCTAGTCGCCAAAAGACTCGACACGACACACTCCAACCAGCAGCCAGAAGGCGCTCGAATAGAAAACCAGTGGTCTTAATTAGGTCAACAACGCCTGCTCAGATCAAAGATAGCATTGAATGTACCAAACGCCTCAGAACTAAAAGCCGAGAAAGTGCTGAAATTACACCTGCTTCACGTCCCTACATCCATCTTGCGGATCGCTACAATCGGCCTCCAGATATGCCCCATGTCGATTTCTCTATTGAAGAAACTCAGTTTCTGTGTACGATAATCGAGTCTGTCACCGGACGAAGACCGGACCTGACACCTAGGCCTGCAGATAAAGTAATATCATTAATGGCAGGTCAGAAGGGTGCAATAACTCGGATACAAGAGGCTTTACAGCAAAAGCTAACAGCACCCGGGCCCGGATTAGGCCGGCAGCTACTGCGTTCTCGTGAGAAAGCTGCAGTAACAGCGTTTTTGAAAGATGCTGCTGAAGGATTAATTACGACTGGCCAGTGGGTTGAGCCCAAAGCCCAACAACCTATTCGCCAGCTTCGGTCCTCAATTCTATCGCAGCTAAGTTCCCGCGAATTCCTAGGATTAGCCCCTCCAAATTTCAATGCTGGTCAGGGATCATTTAAGGAGCAAGCAATGAGTTATCTCGAAGACAATCTCACTCGTATAAGTGAATGGACGGATTGTTGTGGGGACATCGCTGCAATTAGTTGGACTGGTCAAGATACGTTCGTATGTGGAGCCGTTGCTCATTCTGACTGGCACAATATGCAATACAATAAGCCAGGGAACCTTGGGGTCGGATCGTTATCTTTTGATACCCTTAAGGCGATCCCAGAGCATCGGATTGTCCGGCCTCTAATAGGGCCTGCAGAGAATGCAGAGAACGCATTAGAGTCCATGCGGCGGACCCAGGACCCGTGGCTATACACATCTGTGGTTTCTTCCTCTCATAATGAGGTAAACGGCCTTACGTTTACGGCGAGCTTCGACAAGACAGTAAAAGTGTGGTCTGTTACAGACCATGGTTCAACTTTAGATCCGCGTGGAACCTGGGAGCACGATAATAACGTCAATTTTGTTGTTACTTCGGAACACCACGACCGTGTTGCGACAGCTGCGGATGTTTGCAACAACGCAATTCGTGTTTATAATGTTGACGAAATGGATGTATCTAATTCGCCCTACGATACTTATAGTGGCGAGAGAGCTCGAGAGCAAGCTCAAGAGCTTCGGAAAAGAGGTAATTGGGCATATTTCCCGGCTACGATGCAATGGGGAAAAGCCCCTATTGTAGCTAACTACTTGCTTGTAGGATACTCGCCGCGGAGTATAAACGGGCATGATGTTGATATCCCTGAGGAGAAGAAAAATACTGGCGAGTTATGTATTTGGGATGTCTCTGATATGTCGAGGGTTGCGATATCTTCTGCACATTCGCAGAACGTATTCGAGGTGCTTTGGCACCCCACGCAGCCCTTTTTCATAGCTGCGACGTCTCCCACGGGTCATTTTGAATCAGACATTCGCACCCAAGTCAGACTTTTTGCTCGAAAGGGGCTTGGTGCTTTTTTCCTACTCAAAACGTTAGACTGCCCGCCCTCGATATAAATGAGTTGACTATGATGTAAGTTCTATGATGCCTTTTCTGTGAGGATCAACTAATACTTTCAAGGCCAAATAGCGACATTGATTCGTGGGTTACTGCTAGCTGTACAGATGGCAACACATATGTGTGGGACACCGCACACCATACAGAACGGCCAATCCATGTTCTCAATCACGGCGGTAAGTTAAGCTTCACATTCTAGAGGATCAATACTAATCGCATCTGAAAGATTCGCTCGACAACCCGTTGCCAGACCTGCCTCGCGAAATCGGTGACGAAGGAGTAAAGTTTGCTTCTTGGGGTCGGTCTTCCCAACGCTTCTACACTGGATCATCGGATGGCAGAGTCAAAGCCTGGAACATCCACGAAGCTCCAGGGAACGCGTTAGTACGGCATGTACTTGAAGTCTCGGGAGGGATTAGTGTCGGGGCATTTTCGCGAGACTTTTCTAAACTATTAGTTGGAGATGCAACAGGCAAAGTGCATCTGTTAGCCTACGATGATAGCGACCTTGACGAAGGGGAGGAAGAATCGTCCAAAACAGACGAAAAGCCTACTTTCATCCCTGCTGGATCCGGCGCACTTCGAAAAGCATTTGCAAAGCGCCCGAAAGTTATAATACCTCATCCAGAACCACCTCCTCCTTTTCAATCTGTAGGCGAAAGCTATGTAATGGAAAGTCTTGAGAGATCTGCACAAGAAATAGCCCTGGAATTTTTGGTAGAGGGGCGGTTAAGGCTTCATCCAGATCCTGCTATTGGCGCCGTCCAAGGCCCCAACTATGCTGAGACAGAATTATATCGACTGGAAGCTCATGAAGAAGGCGATGCATCGAAGCCACTCCTGCCCGAATTTCAGACGAAACAACAATATGAGAAAGTTAGAGAGACGAGCAAGATCGGCTTTTCAGAGCTACCCACAGTCCAATGCTCCGACCCGGCTTTGCACGCAAGGAACGAGAGTTTAGATTTGACTTTAGAGAACGAAGGCGTAGACTTTAACTGGAAATATGGATTTGAAATGGAACCAACACCGCATTTTGCCATTTTTGATAATAAGAGACAGTCAAAGATAGTAATTACGCTGGACGATTAACAAAATGGATAATTTAAGCCGGTCTTACTTCCAAGCATAAAGATGTGCGAGTATATGTAAACAGGTGCTAGTAATTTGAATAGGATGAATAAATAAATTATCTCCTCTGCTCCCCACCCCCCCTCCTTCCTAAACCAATTTAGGCATTTTAAACACTACAGCTAAAAGTGACATCTAGCCGCACATCTAGGTCTGCCAACCTCTAATCAAGGCAGAAAACACACCTTAAAATTACTAGCATAGAGAGTTCTAGAATGCGATAAATGCCTATAAAGGGGCCTACATAAGACTTATATATAAGAACTTTAAAGAACCCTTCCCTCTTAGCCATATGCTAATACTAATAAAGAAGCTAAGAAACCCAAACTTAAGACTGATAAAGAGAGTGTAAGGGGCGAGCCCTAGAGGTAAAGCACGGGCTGTGCCTGTGCTTACTAAGCCTGGACCGGGGGGCGCTTACTTTTCTTCGGATCCAGACGAAGATTCTTCTCTCTCCTTTATTAAACTTATTAAATACCATATTAAGCCTCTATGTATACGTGACTCACCCGTGATATTATATAAAGCTGACGGGTAACCGTGAATCCATAATTAATTAAACTTAATATTACAGGTG